TTTGTGCCATGATATGATAAGTTTGCTTTGCCACGTTCCTTCACTAGTTTTCCTTTGGTTGAATCGAGTCTTTGCTGTAGTGTAGGAAGACTAAGGCCTCTCTTGGTAGCTTTTATTTCAGAAGGGCAGAAAGGAACTGCGTGCTCGTGTATGTGCGTGCATGTGAGCTTTTTTTTAATTGTGGTGGTACTGGTGATTGAACCAGGGCCTTCACCTTGAACTATATTGCCTAGTTAGCGCACTGTTATTTTTTGCTGTGGGAATAGGATCTTGCTAAGTTACCTAGGCTGGGCTTGGACTTTCAGTCCTCCTGCTTCAGCCTCCCTGGGTGCTGAGATTACATATGTGTATCACCACACCCAGTGGAAAAACTTGTTAGCTTTTGTATCTTGATTTGCATCAGATATTTATGGGTTTGGCCCTCGAAGAGACTCCTTAAGGTGGGTAAAAAAATTGAATGACTGAACTTCTTCAATAGAAGAACTCTAGTCCTTCACAAGTTCTTCCTTCTCTGTTACTGCAGAGTTTGATGCCAAAGCTGTCCTGGAGGACCTGTGATTAAATTCTTCTGTCTTTCCTTCATCATTTAAGACTAAAAAGAACCAAGTTTGGTTCTCAAATTCCTGGCATTCCGGTACTCTGGGAAGCTGAGGCGGGAGGATCACAAGTTTCAACTCAGCCTGGGCAATTTAATGATCTAGCAAGACTCCCTTTAAAAAGAATAAAAGTTTAAAAAGGACTGAGTGTGATGGCTCTGAGATTACTTTCTAGTTCTAGGGCAAAAACAGAGACCACACAGTTCTGCACTTTTTCTTTTTTTTGTGGGGAAATCTACCTCAGGGGCAGCCATTTCCTATCTGCCTGGAAGAAGATGGGTTTTGGGCGTTGTGGTCAGTGTTGGGTGAACTGAGCCAGTTGGTTCCCAAGAGTTTTCTCATTGCACTTTGATTTTCTCCTATGCTGAGATTGTTTAGGATCGCTCTTTGTAGCTCTAAATACTGTACTGAGCTTGTGTGAATTTGAATTGTAAATTAGCATTTATGGAGCATTTGTGATGTGCTAGGGACTCTCACTTTGCTTGGTGATACTGTAACTCAGGCTCCAGTATTATAGAAGAGGTCAAGATTTTGTGGGACTCTGCCTAGGGATGGAATAAGTGGATACTCAAACCCAAATCTGACCACAGTATCCGCTGTGTCATCAGCTGTGGGCATGTGGCTCCCTAGGTGTCTTTGCATGGAGGGTCAGGGATCAGGATAGAATCTCAGGGAGATTCAGGCTCCACCTTCTGGGAGCCACCATCCTGCTGGCCTGGTTCCCTGCCTTCCTTGTCAGCAGGAGTGGATTAACTCTTGTTCCCTGCCTTGCAGAATAATCTTAAATTAAGAAACCTAAGTGAAAATAGTTTGTTATGCAGATACTGCTTCAGGAAAGGCCCTAGCACCACCAGACTCAGATTGCTTCTGCACTTAGAGGTTTTTTTTTCTGCTTTTTAATAAATGCATAGACAACCCCTCGACGCCCTGGGGACGGAAGGTGCCTTTCTTTCTCTTCAGCTACCCCCTCACCCCTGATGCACCTTAGTTGAGGAAGACAATCCTAGGGCCTCTGCTGTACCCCTGCTCCCTAGAATCCTGGATCCCAGGGGTACTTGGGCAGATATGCCAGGTGGCCCTTGCTTAGACTTGAGTCTCCACACTTCATTATCTCTTAGTAGCACTCCCCTGGCATCATAATTACTAAGAAAATGCCCTGAGGTTGCATTAGGAAGATTTTGGACCTGTTTTGCCCCAGTGGATGTGTGGGAACATGAGGCCCCTGGAATCTTTGACAGGCTGATAGGAGCAATTGTGGCTTGTGGGGTTGTAGTGGCTTTCCCTTTTGCAGCCTTAGTTCACTACAGACTGATACAAAAGAGTAGAAGTGAGGTCCTCTTGACTCATCTAACATTCTGCAGCTGTTTGAGGGGAGGGCTTGGAAGATGGTGTTTCCTGAATTGGGCTTGGGACAGCTGTGGCAAGAGCAAGTTTCAGAATGCAGAGACAGAAGGCAGACACTTCTGATTTGTTTGGGATGGTGGTGGATATGGGGCTTTGTACCTACGAGAAGACTCATTTTCATCTGCCAAGCTTAGCTGGATCATTTTATTCACTGTGCCGTGTGTATGCCTGTGTGAGCACATAGTTGGTGCCTGGAATGGGACTCAGAAAGGGATGTGTGATTGAAGTGAAGTCAAAAAGTGTGTTTGTTTGTATAGCCCCCACAATACTGAGAACTTGTGGAAGATTTTCTGGGTTTCCTAGGAACCCTGTACAATTTTTAAGAGGTTTGTGAATTTGACGTAAAGGCAGGTAGTTTTCTTTTTCCCGTGGGTGTTTCTACCTCACTGAGAGCTTTATTCCTGTCAAGAGTAACCTGAGACTGTTAAGTGGGAGCAGATTAAGAACTGAGTACGAGGGTTTGGGATTTAGCTCAGTGGCCCAAGTGCTTGCCTGGCAAGTGTGAGGTCATGAGTTTGAGCACCAATACCAAAAACAAACAAACAAACAAACAAACAAAAAACAAGGTACTGTTGGTCTTTCAGACATAGGGGCCTGGGAGTAGGCTTTCCACAAGCCCAATTTGAGAATATTCCTGTGTATATCCACACTAGCCACATTGGTTGGTTTGGAATTGGTGTGAAGTAGACAATCTTTAGGGCCTTCCGAGGGAAGGACACTGAGGAGACTGGACTTTCGGTATGGTATACTATGTTGCATTGTGATCTTAGTGAACAAACTGTTAGGGTGTTCACAGTATCTGACTTTCCTTAATTTTGAAAGTGGTTTAATAAAAGGCAAGAGAAAACCAGTGACCTGAAAAATTTGCCCCACCTATTTAAGGAAAGTCTTCAGAATAGCTTGCCTGTAAACTTCCTGCTAGTAAACTCCTTGTGGGCCCTTTGGCCTGTGTGTACCCTAGTAACTTGTGCAGTGTTGCTGGGTGCTGGGAGAAATCATTGCCCTCCATAGTGCAACTGTGCACACTCATCCTGACCTGGCTCTCGTGTATATTGGGTGAAAATCCTTTTTAACTCATCAGGGAGCTGGGGGTCAGGGCCGGGGCCAGGCCGGGACTGTTATGTTTGTCTGGGTCCACCCAGGATTACAGGGGAGTGGCTACAGAACGGCACTCTGGCCTAAGGGCACCATCCTCTCTCTGCTGAGGTTTTTCTGGGTCTCTGCTCTGCAGCACCAGGGGTAAGGAATGTGGTGTTGTGGGTGGGGGCCTCTGGTAGGGCTGAGCCAGGAGAGCCCTCATAGTCTCACCTGCTCATTGAAGGAACGTGGATGCACACAGAGAGTAGACTGTTTGTTTGGAGGCCAGCTTGGTGCATTTCTCTGCATAGGGGCAGGGGCAGCCTTGACCTAGCATGGTTGGCTAGCAGAGGAGGCATAGTGTGGGGATGTACCTTTTCCTGTGGGTATCTGTGGGACAGAGGGCCTAGAGTGTGGGTGTAGAAGGGACTGGATCTGTTAGAGCCACTTCCTTTATTTAAAAAGAAAAAAGAAGTTTGTTTTCTTTTTTAAAAGCCCTTGTCCAGGCAGGTGCAGTTGTGCTTGCCTGTCATCCTAGCTGCTTGAGAAGCAGAGGCAAGAGGATTATTCCAAGTTTGAGGCCAACTTTGGCAGCTTAACGAGACTGTCTTGAAAAAAAAAAAGGTGAATTTTTAGAAGGACAGAGGACATAGCTCAGTGGTAAGAGTGCTTGTCTAACATGGGTAGGTCCTTGTGATTAATCCCTGGTACAGATTTTTTAAAAAGGCAAAAAGTTCATATCTGTCTTTGTAGAAAAACTAAAATTACTATAAATATACAGTCATTCCTAGTTTTGGTAAATATAGTCATTTCTGATATGTGTCCTTCCAGAATTTGTACTGTGAATGTATATGCACATGTACATTTTTGTATTACAGAAAAGGGATGATTTTTCCATTGTGTCCATCTTTTTGTAGTAGTCAAAATAATTATCTTTAATTATTCTAATAATTAATTGTTCTAAAAACTTAAACGTGTTTACCAGTTCCTTATTTTTGGGCATATATGTAAATTATTTTTAATTTGGCTGTAGATAGCGCTTTGATGTTTTTGGGTTTTTTTTTTTGGTCTTTTTCTTTTTTATCGGTACCAGGATCGAACTCAACGACCACACACTTGCAAGGCAGGCGCTTATGTTGCTGAGCTAAATCCCCAACCCCATGGTGGATACTTTTATGCTTCCCTCTCATATGATTGGTTTAGTTTTTTTTGTTGTCGTATTTTGAAACAGTATTTCACTGTGTAGTTCAGGCTGGCCTTGAACTTGTGGCAGTCCTCCTGCCTCAGGCTCTTTGAGTGTCAGGATTGTAGGCATACACCACTGTGGCTGGATAGGATATATTTTAAAGGTGGTCCTTACTGTCAAGTCAAATTGGAGCCCACTTTTTCTGTGAACACTGAGAGTCTGGCTTTTCCATTGACTTCAAGTCTTTGGGGGCAAAGCTGACCTTGATGTGATCCCTGGTCCCTTTTACTACCCACCGAGTTCTGTCTTGCCTTCCTAATGATCACTAGCCCTAGTCTGTTCACTCAGAGACTTTAGTAGGAATGTTAGGGCCACAGAATTGTAAAATACCTTTCTTTCATGCATCTGCCATGATTTGGGAGCCCTGAGTGGTAGTAACTGTGGTATAGAATTCCCCCTCCAGGGAAGGGTACATATGTACCCTGTAAGGATCTGTCCAGCTCAGAGTCTGATTTTGGGAATTTTGGCTGCTGACTTTATGCATTGTCTCTGTCCATGGTGTGTTCAGGAATGTGCTGGAAAGTCGTTACTGGTGACCAAGCTTGTCTTTCCTCAATGGCTGTTGCTTTGGGGGAGCTGTAGGTTTGGTAGGGTGGGCTTGGTGGTAAGGATGAGGAGGTGGCTGTGGCCTGCACATGGGCTCTGTATAGCCATTTCTCTCTCCCCTGTTCCCACAGAACATTCTGCTCCAGCCAAGGTGGTGAGGGCTGCAGCTCCTAAACAGCGCAAAGGCAGCAAGGTAAGGAGCAGGAGTAGACATCCACGGGAATGGCTGGAGTGGTGCCCCCTCTCAGGCAGTCAGGATTCCATCTGCATGGCAAAACTACCCAGTGTGGGCAGTCCTAGTGGACACACACAGCTAAGCCTGTAATTCAGTAGGGCTGGGCATTGAGTGAGGAGGAGCTGAGTGGCAGAGGCAGGGTCACTCTTGGGCCTCATAGAATGTGCCTTGCAGGTTGGTGACTTTGGAGATGCAGTCAACTGGCCCACACCTGGAGAGATAGCCCACAAGAGTGTGCAGGTGAGTCTGTGGGGGAGGACAGTTTGTGGACAGTTTGAACTCTGTCCACACAGACACATGGGCTTTACAAGCTTCCAGAGCACTGGGTCCTAAGTTTGTTGTTGTTTTGTTTTGTTTTTGATTTGGGGTTGCAGAATTCAAGCTCAGGACATTGTACTTGTCAGGCAAGTGCTGTACCAACTGAGCTATATCTCTGGCCCCTGGGTCTAAAATTTTTAGAAAATGGTGATTTGCCAGGCATGATGGCACACACCTGTAGTTCCAGGAATTAAAGGTCAGCCAGGACAACATAATAAAACCCTGTCTCAAAAGAAAAAGAAAGTAGTAGTTAATATGACTTGGGCAATGTTGAAATAGCTGGAAATTGTCATCATTTGAGCTCCCTTGTTTCAAGGACTGCCAGCTAGTTTCTGTCTCTCATCTCTGACCTCCTGGGGACTCAGCAATGGGCCTTTTTATGGTTTCCTGTGTTCATCAGAATTTTAAAAGTGTTACTGTGCCTTTATGGCCAAGTGGCTTTTGAAGGTTGGGTGTGCTGTGGTAGTCCTAAAGCCTGTGTTCTGCTTACTAAACTTGGATTTTATACAAGTGAAATAGGATAGTAGATTTTTGTTATTGTGGTTGTTGTTGTTGTTTTGGAGACAGGTTCTCACTATGTATTTTACACTGGCCTCAAACCCACTGTGTTGACCAAGCTGGGTTGTACTCACAACATTCTTTTTGCTCAACCTCCCAAGTGCAGGGATTTCAGAAAGTGGGTATTAAGCCAACTACCAACCTCCAGCTTTGGAAAGTTTAAATGGCTCTCCTATGCCCAGCAGAGAGAGGACTCCCAATTGGTTCTTTTCTCCCATTGTTTTTGCTGTCTCCTTCATTGGCCATGCCCACTTTCAGTGGGTGAAGATGTTATTTTTTGGAGCTGATGTAGACAACCCAGGGGCCAGCACATTATCTACCCTACTGCTAGGAGTAAACCTGGCTCCTGTGGGCCCAAGCACCCCTGTCCTTAGGCTCAGGGATGCTAGAAAGACAAATCATCTCTCCTGTTTCCTGTTTCCTGGCTTGTTTGACCATGTGTCTCGCAAAAGCCTTTCGGGTACAGAACCAGCCTTTGAGTGCATCCAGTCGAGTTTGCCATCACATGCTGCAGCTCCTCTGTCTTCTTGGTGACAAGGAGCCCCTCCCTCTCATCTTAGAAGGTGTCATACACACTCCCTTCTTGTCATTTTGCTTCTCACCTCAGCCACAGCCTCACAAGCCTCAGCCTGTGCGTAAGCTGCCACCCAGGAAGGACATGAAGGAACAGGAGAAAGGAGAGGGGAGCGATAGTAAGGAGAGCCCAAAAACAAAGTCAGATGAGTCAGGAGAGGAGAAGAATGGGGATGAAGACTGCCAGCGTGGTGGGCAGAAAAAGAAAGGTGAGCGGCATGGGGCAGAACTTGGGAGTTGGAGCAGGGCAGGTGGGGCGGGTCAGCTCGGGCAAGCTGCAGTGGAGTTTCAGGTCCCTGAGAAGCCGAGTGCTCTGGGCATTTGGGGCAGCCATTGAGAATTCCTCAAGTCTTCGTCTTAAAAGAATTTTTATTGCATTAAGACTATGCCTAAACCTTCAAGAGTGTCAAGGATGCAGGTTCAGCGGCTCCAGGAGAGATCCCACACACAGAAAAAGTTTCTCACACAGCAGCTTGTCATCAGCAGGCCAGGCCTCATGTGGCAAGTCTGGCTGCCTTCACCTTGTGGTAGCATGCTGGCTGTATGCATCTTCATCCAGGAAGGCTCCTGCCCCCTCGACGGAGCAGGAAGCAAGAAGGGAGAGGGAGCTCTTTCCTGTTAGGCACTCCACGTGGGAATAGCTCCTTAATCTCCTGAGTCACAGGGAGCACTTTGTCTGGTGAGGGTCTGGGAGCTGTAGTGTCTGTTTTGGGCAGTTGTGTCTGGCTGTGGCAGGTAATTCTCTGATCCTGAAGAAATCAGTATTGGGAGCTTCCTGTCCCAGAGGGCCAGTGATTGCCTTGTTTTAGAGATAGAAAAGAGGTCTAGTGTATGGGAAAAGGATTGGCCAAATGTCATCAAGCTGTGATTTGGGCCGAAGCCCAGAGCAGAGAAGAATTGGATCCAGAGGACCTCTCTCAAGCCTTTCTCCCATGCTCATGCTGTCCCCCAGGGAACAAACACAAGTGGGTTCCGTTGCAAATAGATATGAAGCCTGAAGTACCCAGAGAGAAATTGGCCTCACGGCCCACTCGCCCACAGGAGCCGAGACACACGCCTTCGAACCGTGGGGAAATCAAAGGTATGCACTGCCCTGCACAGAGGGCCTAGCCTAGTGGGGCCCTATCAGGCCTGACACCATGCCCTCTGTCCATAGGGTCGGAGCCTGCCACCTACATGCCTGTGTCTGTGGCCGCCCCCACCCCAGCCTGGCAACCAGAGACCAAACCGGAGCCTGCCTGGCACGACCAGGATGAGACGTCGAGTGTGAAGAGTGATGGGGCTGGTGGGGCGCGGGCTTCCTTCCGTGGCCGTGGACGGGGGCGTGGTCGCGGCCGGGGACGCGGCCGGGGTGGCACTCGAAGTACGTGAGGCCCCTTTGGGCTCCGGGATGCCATGGGAGTGCGGCAGGGTGGTGGGCCAGAATTTTCTCTTGCTCATGGCACTCATTTCTCCTGCAGCCCATTTTGACTACCAGTTTGGCTACCGAAAATTTGATGGCACAGAGGGGCCTCGTACCCCCAAGTACATGAACAACATCACCTACTACTTCGATAATGTCAGCAGCACCGAGCTATACAGCGTGGACCAGGAGCTGCTAAAAGACTACATCAAGCGGCAAATGTGAGTGTGCAGGTGGCACGGGGTCAGGGCTGCTGAGGGTGGCATGTGGCCAGGCAGGGCTGGATGAGTTCCTCTGGCCTTAGCTGCATTTGTGACCTTGGCTAGAGCTGTAAAGATAACTGGCCTCTTGTATTCTAAACTGACTGTTACTGTCTGCTGTAGAAGCCTTAAGGAAAAGCTGCCACTAACACAGAGCAGGGGAAACTCCTGGAACCTGTCCTCTCCTTGCTTCTGTTTGTAGTGATGGCATTGAGGAGATACCAGCAAGCACTTCCTGGCTTCTCCCATTGCCTTGACACACTGTGAGGCGCTTTAGAGACACTCTCTTACTTAATACTGTACTTTGCAGATGTGGAATTCCTGTAAGATGGGTCTTTAATGCCATTGTATAGTTGGCCCAGAATCTTGTCACTGATAAGTAACACCAGTTTGAATCTGTTTCTGACAGCAGAATCTTTGCTTCTAGTCACAGTTCACTAGATAAGTCACACAAAAAAAATAGATCGTGGTAGTAGAGTGTTAAAAGGGTTTTAGGAGCAGAGAGAAAGGTGACTGACAACCTTGGAACTGGATTTGAAAGGAGGACGAGGAGTTTGCCAGGCATGGCAGAGGGTAGAGGGCAGAGGAAGTGATAGGACCTAAGGGGAAGACCATGGATGGGGCAGCTCGTGTCAGTCCAGCCCTCACTCTGTGCAGGAGGATGGCCAGGGTGGATGGACAGGAGTCGGCCAGGGTGCACAGCAGAGCAGGGAAGACGCGCTGGTAAGTGATGCAGCAGTTGCTCAGAGATCTCTCCCCTCTTCTCCCCTCCACTCAGTGAATACTATTTCAGCGTGGACAATTTAGAGCGAGACTTCTTCCTGAGGCGGAAAATGGATGCCGATGGTTTCCTTCCCATAACCCTGATTGCTTCCTTCCACCGAGTGCAGGCCCTCACCACGGACATTTCCCTCATCTTTGCGGTATGTCCACTCCTTCTAAAGTCCTAAGATTGAGCTAACTTTGTCTCTTCCTTCCTTTCTTACTTCTTTGTTATTAGAGATAAAGTCAGTCATTTACAAAAGTAGACAGAATAGCGTAGGGAACATATCACAAGTATCGCCTTCCAGCCCTTTTGTTCCATTTAGCTCGTGGGCTGTGACCTCGTTTACAGCTATGGAAGTTTAAGGAGAATCCTAGGGAGCCTGGCGTTTCATCCAGGTGTTTCAGTGCACATACTCATTTAAAACCACACACACACACACACACACACACAGAAAAAAGAAAAAAAAGCAACCACACCTAGAAATACTAACAGTTTCTTAACATCACCAGATAGCCAGTTTCAGAGTCATCTCCGTTGTGTCACCTTCCACAGCACACTGAACTTCCTTTCCCTCTCGCTTTCTCATGGCATTTTATGACATAAGTAAACTGTTTGTGTGTTCAGTAAGTTTTCCCTCAGGACAGAGAAGTCATTTAGCATATTCGTCCATATTTCCAGCTGGTGGTAAATTAGTGACCTAAAGCTAGGACCACATTGAGGTTTTTGAGTTTTTCCCCCTGCTTGTCAAGAATACTTGATAGATAATGATGTGTTCTCTCAGCTGGCCTATAATATTTCATGTGCTGTTGCTCTTGTGATAGAAGCTGCTCTTCATTATCATTTCTGTTCTTTCATTGTAGTTATAAAACCTTTAAGGAAAAACTTTTTTTGCTTCATCAATTATTCACTAATGAATATATGGGAAGAGCAGCTAAGTTCTCTGGTTTTTTTCATTTTGTTAATAGTTTGCAGAATTAGGAATTGATCTTTAATAACCTTCAAAGGTAACCAGTGATTTTAAGAGTTTTTGGTTTTAGTATTGTATATTATTATAAACATTTGGATTTAATTGTAGTTAATATAGTGGATCAGCTGCTTTGGTTGCGTACGCCTATAATCCCAGCACTCGGGAGGCTGGGGCAGGGAGGATCAGTGTGCATTTGAGGCTAGCCTGGATTGCATAGCAAGACTGTCTCAAAAAAAAAAGAGTGCTTCCTTCTCAGCCTCATTAACAGAGTTTGTTATCACATGTTCACAATTCCCTCTTTGATTTAAAGTATGCCAAAAAGTTTTTTGAATAGTAAAGTCTTCTATCTTTGCTCTTTCGCTCTTTCCCAGAGCTAAAATACCCACTGTCGGTTGTTTTAGTTACTTCTTACTGCTTGGACAAAATACCCAACACTCACAAGTTAACGAAGGAAAGGTTTATTTTGGCCGATAGTTTGTGGAGGTTTCATTCCATAGTCGGCTGACTCCAAGGCCGGGTGGCGTGGTAGAGGTGCAGCAGTCCCTGGAAGAGAAGGCTTAAAGCAGTGAAGCAGCAGCAGAGGGCCTTCCTTTCCCTGTTATGTCACCCATGCTATAAACCTATTGGTTGGTGCCACCCTCACCTTAGGGTGGGCTTCCCATTACATCCAGGAAAAACTTTTTTTTTCCTCCTGTTTTCTGGTACCAGGGATTGAACTCATGACCTTGTGCTTGCCAGGCAGGTACTTGTGCCACTGAGCTAAGCCTCCAGGGCCCTCCATTACATCCAGAACTGTGCTAAATCAGTCAGTGGACAAGACTCATGTGCATCCCTTGATGCAAAATGCATTTAGTCCATCCCTAAGAGTTAGCAAAATCCTAGCAGTTCCAACATTACTGAAAAGAAGTCCAAGTTGAAATTCTCTTGAGATTTAAGACAATTTCTTAGCTTCAAGTCCACCTGTAAAGATGAAAGGAAAGTTAAATACTTCTAACATACAGTGGCACAAGTTAAACATTCCCATTCCAAAAGGTAGAAATAGAATGATAGACAGGATTAGTGCCAAAACAAGACGAAAATCCAGCAGGGCAAGCGTTAAGTCTTACATTTCCATGGCCAGCATCTGGGACACTCTCTGCAAGATGCAAACTTAAAAGGGCTTGAGTGGCTTCATCCTATGACACTGTACTGCTGGTAGTTGTAGCCCTCATGATCTCCCTCTTGGGCTGGTTTCTTCACCCTTCTGTGGTGTCCACTGCACTTTGAGTTTCATACATTGCCCTCTCAGACACATTGCCTAGCCTGCTAGACCTTCTGAAATCTGGGTAGAAGTGTTCCTGCCCCTCAGCTCTTGCATTCTGTGTGCACCTAAAACCAGCACTGCATGTATGATACCAAAGTCTGCTGCTAGCTGGGCAGTAGCCAGGCTTCTTTCTCATGTGGCTGTTGTTGTCAAGTACCTAAAATTGCTGAGCACAAACCCAATCCAGAGGAACAAATGTCATAGGCCATTCTGGAATAGTTCCCTGGACCTGTCTTCTCAAAGCAAACTCTTTCACATTTGCAGTTTTAGGACTGCAAAGACTGGAGGCCTGCTGGTTTTTGTGATGTCCTCAGGCCATCTTTTTTGTTGTCCTTCTCTCCTGCCCCAGCATCCAAATTCTCCTGATTCATCTTTTCAGGCCACAACTTCCCTGGAGCTTCTTTTCCGATCAAAGTCAAAAATCGTCCTACTGGTCTCTTTGCTCTTGATTGTCAACATAGATCTGGCTAAAACACCCCATCAGGTAGCTGTACCAGTACTTCAACATTAGACTGCCTTGAAATTTCTTCCACCAGATTAATCTGTGTCTTGGTTACTTTTCTTTCATTGCTGAGACAAACTACTTGATACCCAAAATGAAGGAAGGAAAGATTTATTTAGCTTACAGCTTTTGGGAGACTTTAGTCCATACTCAAGTTGGCTCCATGGCAGAGTGGCATGGTTAAAGGGCAACTGTTCATGGTGGCCACAAGCAATAAGGGCAAAAGGGAAATGCATGGCTCCTTCTCCCCTTTATATTGTATTCTGGCTCCCAGGGTGGATGCAGCATTCAACACCACCAATCCCAGCACTAGAAAATGAATCACAAATACAGGATTCTGCTCTATAGGGGCAGGGATTTAGCTCAGCAGCATAAGCATCTGCCCTGCCTGGCAAATGTGAGGTCACTAGTTTGATCCCCAGTATCAAAAAAAAAGGTTCATCTGCCTCCATGACCACATGAGGCTTTGTTGGGGAGGATATTTAAACACAAACTAACAGTCTGCCACACTCAGTCTCAGTGTCCTGCAGAGTCTCTGAACTTGACCACGCTCTTCTACAAACCAGTTCTAAAGGCTTCTGAACCACATGGCCAGGTAGTGTCACAGCAGCAACTTCACGTCTGATACCAAAATCGATCTTGGTTACTTTCTTGTTGCTGAGATAAAGTACCCAACACCCATAGGTTAAAGGAAGAAAGGTTTTTTTTGGGCCCAGTTTATAGAGGTTTCAGTTCATAGTCAGCTGGTTCCAAGGCAGGGTAGCATGGTAGAGGAGAAGCAGTCCATGACACAGCATGCAGAAAGGAACAAAACAGCAAGCTTTGCCTTCCCGTTAGTCCATAGGCTACAGTCCTATTGGCTGGTGACACTTCCACCGAGGGTGAACCTTCCCATTATCCACACCCAGAATTGTGCTAATTAAGTCAGTGGACTGATTTAGCATACATCCTTAATTCATATTCACACACCCTAGTTGCAGCTACCACTGAAAAACCCCACCAGTGAGCTCATGAGGCTTTGGGGAACATCTAGATACAAACCATAATAATTTGAGTATATCTGTACTATTTAAAAATTTAGATACAAAAGAGATCTGTACTCTGACTTGTGCCTTTGAGGTAAAGGGTAGTAGGGATTAAACCCAGGGCCTTACACAAGTGCTGTACCACTGAGTTGTATCCCCAGCACATTTTTCATCTTTATTTTGTGGCACGATCTTGCTAAGTTGCCTAGCCTGACCTTGAACTTGAAATCTTCTGCCTCAGTTTCTTAGAGTAGCCTAGCTCTTAGGTGGGTACTACCATGCCTGGCTTACACCTGCTTTTTTGACAATTTTTTTTGTGTCTTTCTGCTTCATTAATACTGTAAAGTTGTTTTATAAATGTCCAAGTGTAGTATTCCAGTAAATGGCTGTACTGTAAAAATTTCCTTTAAAAAGTTTTTCTATCAAAATACTTGCTGTAGAAAAAAAAACCCTGCTATTTAATGGCCTTTTGTCCAAATCTTAGTAAATACCATCACCAGTTTAAGTGTTTTCTATTTTACTGAAGTCAACAGGTTGGTGTGGTTTCATGTTGGTCTTCTTCAAGTTTGAACATTGCCTATTCTGCGAGTCATGCAAGAAGATAACAGTTTTTAAATAGGATTGCTGGTGCTGAATTTAACACCCAAGTTCATGAGGACCCAGTTGTCTGACATCTCTTAAGATGTCAGGTTGTCTTAGTCTTTTCTCTTCATCCCTTTTCTCTCTTTGTAGGCCCTAAAGGACAGCAAAGTGGTGGAGATTGTTGATGAGAAAGTCCGCAGGAGGGAAGAGCCTGAGAAGTGGCCTCTTCCAGGTCCCCCCATAGTGGATTATTCACAGACCGATTTTTCCCAGCTTCTCAACTGCCCTGAGTTTGTTCCCCGCCAGCACTACCAGACAGAGACAGGTAAGTCCACTCCCTGCATGTAGATGCCCCCTCTTTTCCTTGTCATCCTCCTCAGAGCTGGCCTCAGGAGGACTAGAGTGATGAGGACATTCCCTCTCCATCCTGCAGAGTCGGCACCTGGCTCTCCACGTGCAGTCACCCCAGTGCCAACCAAGACAGAGGAAGTCAGCAACCTAAAGACACTGCCCAAGGGCCTCTCTGCCAGCCTACCTGACCTGGATTCTGAGAATTGGATCGAAGTCAAGAAGAGGCCTCGGCCCTCCCCAGCACGGCCCAAGGTGGGTGAGACCTTGGGTTGCAGAGCCTGGGATCGGGGTCTTAGGAGATGTGAAATGGGGATAGAGCTCTGAGAGAGTCGAGTGAGAAGTCTGGTGGCTCCAGGTGGTTTGTGATGCAGTTGAGGTCTTCTCTAGTGACTGCTGCAGAGTCGATGTGACTCATTTCCATTTTCCAGGGATCTCCCGTCAGGACACCATACTGTATGTGTGAGTGGCTGCTTTTTTGCGGGGATGGGTTGCTGCTGCTGCTGTTGACATAGTTGATGTTGTTGTTAATGAGGTCTAGGTAGGCTGTCTAGGCTGACCTCAGCCTCTTGAGTAGCTAGAATTAACACACACATGCTATCACACCTGGCTAAGTGGCTTCTTCATAGTAAAAGGTCACGCAGCATCTGACACCAGTGGTTCATGATTCTTGACTCCTGGTTGTTCTTTTTACCCATCTAACTCCCGGGGGCTGCATTTTCAGTTCCTTTCCCTTCAGACTGTCATACATAAACCCTGAGGCCTTTAGAAGAGGGACGAGAGAAAGAGTAGATGCATGGCCCAGATATGGTGATGCCTTTCAGTGATTCTGGACTAGAACATGGGGAGACTTGTTGAATATCTCAAGCTTTGTAGATCTTAAGAGAAACTAGTAAAGCAGTATTTTATAATACAGATGGAATCTAGTATTAGAGAATGTTTCAATCTCAAAATCAACACCTCTTCCCAGATCATGCCCTTTGATGACCTCTTTGGGGCTGTGAGGCGTGAGATGACCTTGTGCTACAAATTTCTGTGTTCCCTTACTCCTTTCACCATTGTGATTGGCTCTCGATCTTTTGTGCCTGTTTATTCCCAGTATTTCCCACTGTTCTGGCCTCAGTTCTTTTAAAAGTATTGTAGTCAGGCCAGAGACATGAGGAGAAAGGTAGTGACTGGATAAGGACCTCACATGGCCCAGGCCTACCAGCTGCAATGGTTTTAGAAAGATGGAGCCACATCAGCCCCTCCATTCCAAAATTGGTGCCCGCTCTTGCAGCCTGGCCTGTCTTGGACCTTACAGGAAATGAGTTTGGAGTTTTAGGGGAGAACTCTTTGCAGAGCAGGAAATTACCTTTTGGTTAGGTACGTTGGTTTGCTGTTGCCTTTGGTTCATATTTTTCTTTCTGCCTAGTATATTGTGTCCTTGCTTTCATCTGGCATAATTATGTTGATCCTTTAGTAGCCACTTTTTCAAGGAGGCCTTCACTGACCAACCCCATTCACAGTTGCTTAAGCTCCCTTTCTGCGTGCTGCCAAAAAAACTGTTTATATTCTGTACAGTATTATATTGCAGTTGGCTATGTGGTTGACCTTCTCCCACTGAACCGTAAGGAGAACTTGTCTTATTCAGTATTCTGCTTTTAGGTTTTTCATACAGAGTCTGGTACTGTTGGATACTTGCATTTGTCAGGTCATTGCATATCTGCTATGGCTAGGTCCTAGTCTAGATTCTGAGTGTGTAATGGGAAGCAAGCTGCCTTGCCCCTCCTGAAGCTTCCAGTGTACTAGAAGGTGGATAGTCAGATGAAAGGATGGATACTTGCTGAAATTTTGTGTGTCCCCCACTCCCCACCCCAAAGCTAGCTTCTTGGTAGGATATAAAGGTGAAGAGTGGTTTGTGAATGACTCTTACATGAGCTGTGAGTAGAGGAGCCAGAGCATGTGTGGGACTCCATTTCTCCTTGGCACTGACCCTAGGGAGGATTTGGATGATCCAGTCTGCTGGTATTATCAGGCCAGAGCTGTGATAGTCTCATTCTAAGGAACCAGAGCCTCCCTCCCATGGGACAACTGCTGAGCCTGGCCTGAAGGCCCCTGATGATTCCTTCTTTTTTTTTTTTTTTTTTTTTTTTTTTTGTCTTTATCGTTTTTATCGGTACTGGGGATCGAACTCACGACTGCCTGCTTGCAAGGCAGGTGCTTATGCCGCTGAGCTAAATCCCCAGCCCCTGATGATTCCTTCTTGATCTGTCCCTCTTTCAGAAATCAGAAGAATCCAGGTTTGCCCACCCGACCTCTCTGCCTCAGCACCTTCCGTCCCAGCAGCTGATGTCTAAGGATCAGGATGAGCAAGAGGAGCTAGATTTCCTGTTTGATGAGGAGATGGAACAGATGGATGGGCGGAAGAACACCTTCACCGCCTGGTCTGATGAGGACTCTGACTATGAGATCGATGACCGGGATGTCAACAAGATCCTTATTGTCACCCAGACACCACCTTACATGCGCCGGCACCCTGGAGGGGATCGCACAGGCAACCACACCTCTCGTGCCAAGATGAGTGCTGAGCTGGCCAAGGTCATTAATGATGGGCTCTTCTACTATGAGCAGGACCTGTGGACTGAAAAGTTTGAGCCTGAATATTCCCAGATCAAGGTGAGACTCGTAGAGGAGTGGGACCCAGGCACCAGCAGTTGTGGAGAAGGTGGCTTACTAGCTGTGTGTCCCTGGGCATGTCCCTCCAGTTCAGAGCCTTGTGTCCTCATATGAGATTGGAAATGGGTGACACCTTGCTGGGGCCTAAACAAGATGTGTAAACACTGTGGGAAGGGGATCTACTGTCTTGCCTCAGCATTCAAATTTTAATGTCATATGACAGTTGGCAAGACACTTCTTTGTAGAGAATAGAATAAGGCTTATGATTTATTTCTTCTAGCATCTACCTGATGCTATGAGTTCAGTGCTCACAGCAAAAAAATTAGATGTGTAAGGTGTATAAAGAGCTCTTTAAAAAGGCATCATTTTTTAAAATTTTATTTAAAAGGAAAAAGAACAGAACAAAACAAAACAGTGTAAGGGTACAAGTAATACAGAACTACAAAAAAAAAAAAAAAAAACAAAAAACAGTAAGATGTCACCAGTTAATAGATTACACACTATCATCTTAGAGACAGTGGTTCAAGTCACAGCATCAAAGCATACAAAGTGGACAAACAGTGAGACTGCAAACAGTTGTGTTCAATGATCCAATCAAAAACATTAATATGGTCATCTATTTAACACTCCTAAACACACTTCCTGTTGTATCCTTTAGGGCACTTTTTTTTCCCTCTCTTTATTACAACAAATTTACACATTTTGGGTTTTATTACTCCCATAGTTCTTATTACTTTTTTTTTTTTGGAAGAGAATAAAATCAAACATGACAAAATAAAGCTGTCAGTCGAAACCAAGGATAGACATAGCACATGATGTAAAAACAGAGTACAAGGTTATCAACAATGGTTACCATAAAAAAAAGGCACCTTTTAAAGAGTTTTAAGTACAGAGAGTGGAGAAAAGATAGGTCTAGTCCAAATGCCTCGGTTTTCAGAGAGAGTGGCGGAGGGTGAGCCTTTGGGAGCATGTGTAACAAGTGTGTGGGGGCATTGCTCAGCTGCTGTGTGACAAGGCAGTAGCAGGAGAGGTGGGGAGGCACTGGAGCGCCTGGGGAGTCAGCAGGCAGCTAACTCAGCACTGGCCTCTCTGGATTAGCATCTGTGTGCCAAGGTAACTGGGTTTGGGGAATGCTGATGGGCAGCTGAGAGCCTGGGGACCAGAATTCCCTGTGTGTGTGTGTGTGTGCGCGCGCGCGCGTGAGTGTGTGGGTGTACGCATGGGCCTGGCTCTCTACTTCCTGCCAGCCTTGATTCCTGAGCAGGCCAGAGCAGCTTTCTAACATCTTTCATCACCCATCTCATATCCTTTACAGCAAGAAGTTGAGAATTTCAAGAAAGTCAACATGATCAGCCGGGAGCAGTTTGACACGCTGACCCCAGAACCCCCTGTGGATCCCAACCAGGAAGTTCCTCCTGGGCCACCACGGTTCCAACAAGGTGAGGGGCAGGCCCTAGAGACCTGGTGTGGGCCGGAGGGCCAGAGGGACCAGAGGGACCAGAGGCCTACTTCTGCTTGCTGACCCCTCTCCGCCTGTGCAGTTCCCACTGACGCCCTGGCCAACAAGCTGTTTGGTGCTCCTGAGCCCTCCACCATCGCCCGCTCTCTCCCGACCACTGTCCCAGAATCGCCAAACTACCGTAATGCCAGGACCCCCCGCACACCCCGGACCCCACAACTCAAAGACTCAAGCCAGACGTCACGGTTTTACCCAGTGGTGAAAGAAGGACGGACGCTAGATGCCAAGGTGAGGCCCCTGCTGCCCCTTCCAGGGCTTGGCTTTTCTCCCCTGCCTTGTATGAACCAGGGCAGTGCCAAGGGCCCTGCTCGCTCTGTCCTCCGGCTGTAGGACACTAACATTGAGTAACCACATCTACAAAATACACCACACTTGCAAGTGGTGTCCTGAGAAGGACCGACTAGGTGTGAGGCCTTGGGCAGATCACCTCGCTCCCTGCCGCCATTCCCTCACCTGTGAAGTAGCCGGACCAGTTGCTGCCTCATGCCTTGAGCATTAGTGGGAGAACAGATAGGGAAATGCTGTTGTAACATGTGGGGTGCCAGGTGCAGAGGAAGGTGTCTGCTGCTTTGAGACTCCTATAAGTACCTCAGAATTGTAGGAGTACAGATAACAAGACTTGGACTGACCTTTACAGATGCCTCGAAAAAGGAAGACAAGGCACAGCTCAAACCCACCCTTAGAGAGCCACGTGGGCTGGGTGATGGACTCCCGAGAGCACAGACCCCGGACCGCATCCATCAGGTACTGGGACACTGGGTGGGGAGAGAGCAGGCTGCCTGTAGGGTGGAGATCCTGACTAGGAAGTCCACCAGACCATGATGATTGTTCTGAATTAGCTAAATCCAAGCAGCCAATGATGGGGAAAGCTTATTAGCCCAGGCCATGAGAAAGGGAAGTATTCTGAAGTAGTGTCACATCCATGAGACCTGGCTCTGTATGCTTAGAGAAAGCAGTATCTCTGATGGCCAAATCTGAGTATCTGCTGTTTGCCTAAAATAGAATGGCCAGGTCATTGAATAAAATTAGAGGGGTAAAGCCAGGCACAGTGGCGCACACCTGTAATCCTCGTACTGAGGCAGAAGGATCTCTAGTTCAAGTTCCATCTGGGCACCTTAGATTCTATTTCAAAGTCAGACATAAAAAGGTCTGGGGATATAGCCTGGCAGTAGAGCAACCTTGGGTTCAGTCCACAAGTGCTAGGGGGAAAAAAATGTAAGAACGGGAGCTGTAAGTCAGTGCTAGACCAGGTGCTTAGCCTACCTGATGCTATGAGGTCAGTGCTCACAGCAAAAAAGAAAAGCAGGGTGTTATCCCAGCTATCCTGGAGGATGAAGCAAGAGGATTGCAAGTTCTCAACCCAGCCAAGGCAACTTAGCAGGACAGTGGAGTCCTTGCCTAGAGTGCTCAAGGCTCAGGACTCCTTGGCCCCACCTGGGCTCTATGGACTCATCTTCTCTAGAGGCCTGACTCCTTTTCATGTGCTTTTAATAAAGTAACCTGTGCTCGTTACCTGCTGGAAGCCAAGATTTAAAAGCCACTGAAGGCAGAAAATAGTGTTTTGACAAAAATACAGATGGATTAATGCATGATAGGTCATTAAGGAAAGCTAAATGTTACAGTTTAGATGAATAAAGGGTTAGATGTTCAGATTTGAGGCATTGGACAGTTCATTTAATAGCTGTTTACCCAGGAGGAGTCTCACGGTCTCCACGAGCCTCAGTGACCTTTTCTTCAAACCTTTGAAGGGTGATGCAAAAAAATTTGTCAGCCTCTTGAGTGTAAGTAAGTTAGGGATCCCAGCATAATATGACAGGCTGGATCTTAGCTTATAGAAGGCATCAGAGGGACCCCTCCTCACTTTATGGCAGTTCAGCTGAGGAGAACCTGGTGATACTGTCTTTCTGTCATCTCTGTAGTTCTAGCCCCTCAGAAGGGACACCTGCAGTTGGCAGCTATGGCTGCACTCCTCAGTCGCTGCCCAAGTTCCAGCATCCTTCCCATGAGCTGCTCAAGGAAAATGGCTTCACACAACATGTCTACCACAAGTATCGCAGGCGCTGCCTTAATGGTAAGAAGTGGAGGAGTGGGCTCACCCTTGGGGCCGGCACAGTACTTGGTTCCAGAGCGTAACAGCTGGAGGGCAGGGAGCAGGTGACTATTTTTTGGCCTTAGAAGGAGAAGTGACATGACATGGTAATAAGAAAGGATAAAGTTAGGTTCAAGGCTCAGGATAGATGCTTTTGAAGGGAGCTAAGCACTCAGAATGTTTCCATTCCTTGATCTTGTGGATACAGAAAATGACAGCATAATTGCCAACTGAGTGGCCCAGTGAGGCCCACTATCCATCAGTAAAGTGTGCAGGAGGTGGGCGGTTCCATAGAGCTCAGGTTGCCATGAAAGGGCTTGTGGCTAAATCCAGCCTGGGGACTGGTTTATGACTGGAGTTATGAACAGCTTTTACATTTAAGGGGTTGTAGGAGAAAAAAGAGTTGGTGATAGAGATTTGTTGCCTGCAAAGCCTGAAATACTTTGTGATCTTTTGTAATATAAAGTTTGCTCACCTCTGTTTTAGAAGAACTTCAATAGATGCTCTTGCGTATTTTCTTTTATCACAAAATGAAATACCTTTTAATTGTAGGTATTGTGATAAACTGGAAAGTACAAAACCTGGGTACTATATTCTTGGTGCACCTGCCTCTCTTGTGTGTGTGTTGGGATATAATTTACATACCATACCATTTACTTATCATGACTTGTAATGTGTTCATAGTTGTGCATCCATCGCCAGAATTAATTCTAGGACAGTACCACAAGCAAAGATCTGTACCCCTCCTGCTCATTCCCTGTGCCGTGAGCTTGACTCCACAACATAGTCCTTCCAGCTCTGCACAACTACCAGTCTATTTTCTGTTTCTGTGGATTTGCTAATTCTGGATGTTTTATGTGAATGGAATCTTAATGTATGACTCCCTGCCCTTAGTGTGTTTTCAGGGTTTACCCAGGCACTGTGCCATTGAGGTATATATATCCTCGACCCCTCATATGGCACTTTATGACTAATCATATTTTGCTTTTCAGTGATTGGTGTTAGGAGTTTCTACTTTTTTGTTTGTTATCAGTAGTGATGCTCTTACGTGTTTTTGTATACACTTTCTCTATGGGCTTATTTCCATTTATCTTGGGTGAAGTGTGGCATTGCTGGCTTGTTTGGTAGCCATGGTAAACTTGCAGAGAGCTTTCAGACTGCTTTCTGTAGTGGTGTCACCACATTACATTCTCACAATGTGTATCTTTTTGGAGAAGGCTACTCTAGTTTTTTTAAAGCTGTATTATTTGTCCTATTACTAAATCTAGGAGTGTACTCTGGGTAGAAGTCCTTCGCTATGTGATCAGCAAATACGTTCTCCCATCCAGTGGGTTGTCTTTTTCACTGGGGTTTAAACCCAAGGCCTTTGAAAGAATCAACTCCTCGGTCCTTTTATTTTTGAGAAAGGGTTTGTAAGTTACCTGGCTGGGTGTGAACTTAGGATTGCCTCAGCTTCTCAGAGTGATGGAATTGCAGGCATGTGCTGCAGTACCTGGCTTTTTTCACTTTTTTAGTGTACAACTGTTTGTTTGTTTTTTCTGTATAATTTTATTGCTTGTACTTTTGCTGTTGAGTAATTTCTTGGTATTACTATATTGTACTTGTTACTAGTGATGAGAAGTATTTGCAGTTGGTTAGAGAATTCTTAAATTACTTGGTCATGTTTTGCCTTGTTCTGCCTACACTTGAAAGTGATATCAGTTGAGATGCAGAACTAGACTGGTGGCCTAGCAGAGAAGCTGGTGCCCCCATTTTAGGTGGTAAGAAGCAAGCAGCAGGAAATAGGACAGGATGGTTGGTGCTCAGTGAATATCTGCCGGGTGACTGAAGCAGCTCTTGATGAAGCATGTAGAAGTCCAAGACAAAGGACCCATTCTTAGGTTGCACCTGACCCTCACCCGTGGCTTCCTTCCTTCCCTGTCAGAGCGGAAGCGCTTGGGCATTGGCCAGTCTCAGGAGATGAACACCCTATTCCGCTTCTGGTCCTTCTTCCTCCGAGATCACTTCAACAAGAAGATGTATGAGGAGTTCAAGCAGCTGGCTTTGGAGGATGCTAAAGAAGGCTACAGGTGAGCAGGCGTGGGCCAGGCCGCTAGCTGGTGCTTGAGGCTGGCAAGCCCCCCCCATTGAGTCATCCAGGGCTGGAGCCGGAAATGCCTTGTGTATGTTTATGCCTTGCATATATATTATTTTAAAACAAATACTGTAGTAAATTTTCACATGGTTCACATTTCAGAGAATTTAAAAGGGCGTTTAGTGAAAAGTCTCCTCAGCCATGACTCTCCTGTCTCAATTTCTTTAACTCTTCCTCTCCCATACCACCACCATCCCTGTTTTTGTTTGTACAAAGATGGTCTTGCATGCTATGTACGGTTGTTGGCTGTGTTTTGCAAATTTTTTCTTAATACTTTATCTTGGAATCATTCTGTATTTGTACTGTAGCATCATCTTACAGTATATGAGTATACTGTGATTTAATGCATCCTAGTAATGGAAGCTTGGGTTGATGACAAGTATTTTGCTATACAAAACCCTTTTTAAAAAGTTCCGTTTCCTGCTGCCCTGATTTTCATAGTAAAACCCTAGAAGTAAGTTGAGTGTTGTCCAGAGACAGCAAAGAGCAATGTGCCACTGTCGAGATTGTCCTGAGTGTACTTCTGATGCCGACTTTTATCTATAAGCATGAGCATTTCCCCATGTTGTGCAAATGTTTATCTTCTTTTCATTTTTACAGAAGCTGTTAAGCACTTTTTGTAGAAAGTTTAGGAAAAACAACTGAGAAAGATCTTTTGAATATCCAACTTGCAAAGGATATATGAGTATTTTTTATATTTTGCCCTTCTGGGCTTTGCATACATTCATAGATGTGAAGGTGACATATTTATTTATAAAAACAGGGTTATTTAGCATGACACTTCAAAACGTGTTTTCCACTTGATAAGACATGTATTGCAAACATTTTTCAGTATCTCACTACATATTTATGCTATAATTTTTAACAATTTATATTCCTTTTTGTGGATCTGGATTTTCTCAACTGCTTCTCTGTTAGAATTTTGTGTATACAGCTGCTGTGAATGTTTTATACTCTGATAAAATCTTTTTTTTTTTTTTTTTTAATCTTTTTTATCTTTTTGAGACAAGAGTTTCACTATGCAGCTCAGGCTGGCTTGGAACTCACTTTGTAGGCCAGGCCAGTCTTGTACTCATGGCAGTCCTCCTGCCTCAGCCTCCCTAGTGCTGGGATTACAGACAGGTGTGCACCACCATGCCCAGCCCTATACTCTGATAAAATGTTAATCCATATTTTTTTGGCCATTTCCTTGGCGCAGATTTCCTAGAAGTGAAATTTCTGACTCAGATAATTGGACAGGCACACTAATTGGCATGGTTAAATGGCTTCACGGAGAACTTCTGCCAGGGGTTGACAGTTTTTCTGTAAAAGCACAGATAAGCCAGACATAGTGGTACACACTCCTAGCACTTTGGGAGGCTGACAAAGGGATCACAACTTTGAGCCCACTCTGAGCAAACTTGGCATAACCTTGTCCTTAGGGAAAAGCACAGGTTTGTGGGCTGTAAGGTCTCTGTCCAGCTACTCAGCTCTGCTTTTAAAGCAGAAAGCAGCCAGGGGTAACATATGATAGAACAGGAGTGAAGAAATGGGGATGTGGAGGCACGAATGGAGTGCACTGCCCCCTGCTAAACCGTGAACATTTGATGCTGGAGCTACCTACCCTGGCCTTAAATAATTAGCCTTTTTCAAGAGTATTTGCCACTTTTTCAGTATAGCAAGAGCTCCCTATTTCTCTTTCATACTTCCCCTACTGTCACAAATAGGTAGGTACATTTCTGCATTTTGTGGATAAAGACACTGTGCCCTGAGATCTCTGATGTCTCTTCCCACAGATATGGTTTAGAGTGCCTTTTTCGATACTATAGCTATGGTCTGGAAAAGAAGTTCCGGTTGGACATATTCAAGGATTTCCAGGAGGAAACTGTGAAGGACTATGAAGCTGGTAAGAGTTAGAGCTGGTTCTGCGCACACCCCGGTCCTCTAGGCCTTCCTGCCACCGCCCCGGTCACTGCGCACTCCCCTCTCTCCCTTTACCCTCCTCTGCTCAACGCTCTGGCTTCTCATTACCCTTTTCTCCTGCTCTTTCACTGTAGGCCAGCTCTATGGGTTGGAGAAGTTCTGGGCCTTCTTGAAATATTCCAAAGCCAAAAATTTGGACATTGACCCCAAACTACAAGAATACCTCGGCAAATTCCGACGTCTAGAAGACTTCCGAGTAGATGTAAGTGAAAGGTCTCAATGCTTTCAACTCATTTGTGCTGAAAAGAGACTTGTTCCAGGAATCGGGGTGCTCAGATCTGGTCCCAGTTGTGCTACTAACCCAGGGAACTCCCTAGTTTGGGTTTTATATGCTGTTTCCCCACCTGTAAAGTGGAAGGTGAGGCTAGACCAGGAAGTGGAGAGGTATGTAGTTGCTCCACTCTGCGTTGTCGATATTGCTAAGGTGTCTTAAGGTTCTTTAAACTCTTCCAACCTTCCTTGCTGCTGTGCCCAAGTTCACCACTAAGAGTCAAAACTAGGATCTCCAGGTGGATGTGGGGTACAGTCCTATAATCCCAGCACTCAGGAGGCTGAGGCAAGGATTGTTGGAAGTACATGGCCAGCCTGGGCTGCAAAGTGAGTCCAAGGCCAGCCTGAACTGCATAGCTAGACCCTGTCTCAAAAAGCCCAAAAATATAAATAAAGGAAAAAAAATCGCCACAAGTACTGTTTATGTTAGGATTGAATATCCACAATAAATACATTTGCCCTTTCTGAAAAAAAAATTCCCAATCCGAAAGCTGGTAAATTGAGGTCCTGTGCTTGTTTTCTGGATCAGTGCCTCAACAGTGACATCCAGTGGTGGGTCTGGATCATTGCTGGTGTCCTGTCAAAGGAAGTTGTTGGAGTTACCGGTTCAGCAAATTCTGATTGGGTATCCCTCTGCCAAGTGCTTCAGAGTCTCTAGAGATGAGAAAGGACTCTGACAAGTTTATGATGGCTGGGGGTGTGGCTCAGTAGCAAAGTGTGTACTTAAACTGCCATCGAGTATTGACTCTGCCTATGTAATAGGCACTCGACATGTACACTGATCTCTTGGAACCAGGGTGGTAAGGAGGCAGGGAATACTACTGTCTTGCACAGATGGGTAAATGAACGCTCCTGACTCCATAAGGGACAGTGTCAACACTGCTTGGCTCTCCCAGTATAAAGAGAACCTGTTCAGGACAGGGCTGCAGAGAACTCTTCTGTGATAGGTAGACCAGGGGGAACAACGGCTCACAGGTTTGGTACCCCAACAAGGAAGCAAGTGTCCTCACATTTGTAGAATTTTTGGTAATGAAGAGGGCAGACCGGAGGTGGTCTGATTCCCATTTCATTGGGCTTTTAGGGGACTGAGGGAGATTGAGGTGATCCCCAGGAGCATTTGTCCTCTTGAGCGCAGCATAGCATGCTGCATGCCACATTGCACATACAGTTTCCTTTGTAGCACCTCTCTTCTCAGATGGAAGCAGAAACTTATGTGGATAAAAGCCTGGTTTTTAGGACTAAGTGGACCTAAATTTTGTGTTTGCCACTTGCCAGCTATATGACCCTGAGCAATTACATTTCTGTGGCAGTTTCCTGATCTGTAAAATTGGTTAATGGTGTCAACATTCAAGGGTGATTTGGACCTCATGAGAGAATGGGCATAAATAAGCCCAGTGCTTTGTATAGAAAAATGCTTAATATTCTTGTTTAAGGTCAGACCCCTTTCCTTACCTACATTTGGAGGCAGACTGTCATCTGCAGACAGCCCTGGTAAGAAGTTGTGGGACATGTCCCATAGTCTACCTGTGACTCTCTCCTCTTTTGTAGCCCCCCATGGGTGAGGAGGGCAACCACAAGCGACATCCAGTGGTAGCAGGTGGTGGCAGTGGTGAGGGCAGGAAGCGATGCCCTTCCCAGTCTTCCAGCAGGCCTGCTGCCACGATCAGCCAACCCCCTACACCACCTACTGGCCAGCCCATCCAGGAAGAGGCTAAATGGACAAGCCAGCACATGGACACACAGACTTTGGGAAAGTGAAAAGCCCTTAGCCCCTGGGGTTTTGGGGAAGGGGTAGGGTGAGTAAGGGTCCATGGGGGTGCCCAGTCCCAGGAGAGAGGACAGAGAAGGGACAAGCCTGGAGTCAATAGGACAGGCCTCCGTGCTAAGTTAGCAGTGTGTACACCATTTGGGCTGTTAGAGGTACCCCTGGACAGGAGCCTACACGCATCCCCTTCCCCTCCTCTCTCCACAACTCTTCCATCCTAGCTTCTAAGGGGGGGAGGGAAAGGGGAGATTTTTTATATATATATATACATATATATATATCAAGTTTTAAATTATTGATAGTTTGTCTGGATTACCAAAATCACTCTTTAGCCCTGCTTGCGGCTAGTAGGCCGCAGTCCTGGTCCCCACCCACAGCCGCCTCCTCCCCCAAAGCCAACTATGCAGCCCACAAGAAGGCCCTGCAGGCCTGTGGAAGGCTCTGACAGCACCTGGGCCCCGGGAGAGCAGCCCCCTGACCACCTGGGGTCCACCATGGCTGTGCTCTCCTCACTGTCCCCACCTTGCCCTTCTGCCACCTTCTGGGAGAAGGAAACCAAAGGATCTAAAAGTGGGGGTCGGGGGAAGGTTTCAGCTTCTCCCCACTCCCTCTCCCCACTTCCCTTACTTCCCAGCCCAGAGAAACGCTGCTCATACCAGAAAAGACTATTGAAAGATGATTTATTTTTTTTTTCTCTGACCTTTCCATCCTTGGGAAAATAGAAAAGTTAAAAAAAAAGAAAAAAAAAAAAGAAAAAAAGAAAAAATTGACCATTTAAAAAAAAAAATCAGAAAACCCTTTCCTGATCCATAGAAAGTGATGTCTTTCCCTTCTCCTTAGAATTTTTTGTTTGTTTTGTTCTTGGAAATAATATTTTTTTAAAAGTTGCCTTATTGTGGAGCGGGAATCTGAAATAATACCCAAATGCCTGTTTTCCTCGGTGGAGTCAACCCGAAGAGCTCCCACCTTCTCTGGATGTGCCTGGGCGTAGACTGGCTGGACTCCTCCTCTGGACTGAGTTGCATGTACAGTGCCTCCCCTGGAGGCAAGAGAGTTGGGGCGACTCGTGCTGGAGCCGTGCCCAGAGCACCCCTGCTGTTGCATTGTTAGAAGCTGACGTCTTGTGTCTGTATACTGCTGCCACTGTCGTGTCCTCACCTCGCTTGCTGTTGCCTCACGCCAGGCCCTGTCCTGCCGTGATGCCCTTCATCCTACTCTTGGGACCCCAAGGCCAAGTTCAAACTGTTGGAAAACAGAGTTGGCCTGGATGTGGAACACACTCATCCTCAGCCTGGACGCCTCCCCCGTGCCAGAGGGGACACGTGAACACCTGGCAGCTGAGGCCTGACTGCATTTCTCATGTTGTCCTGAAAAGTCTCTGAGACCTTAAGGAAGCTTTGTCTCATAAAAGGTGGCGGAATGTGCCGTTGTCCTCCAAGGGTCTGGTGAGGTCTCCCCATCTTGCAACCCCCCCTCTACAAACCATCTCTGCCTGCCCTCTAATTGACTGTGCCTGGCAATGAGAGATGAGGAGGAACGGGGGGCTGGGGGGAATCCTGCCAATCGGCGAGGCCCTGTGGCAGGAAGGTATATGTGGACATAGAGTATACCTGACTCTCTTCTCCAGCCACTGACCGCCTGAGCTGGGTTGTGAATGACCATGGAATGGCTGGAGTCTACCGTTGTCAGAAACGAGGGAGGGTGATGGACTGACCCACAGACTGGGACGTGTGTTTCCTATGGGCCTGACTGCACATTTGCCTCCAGCAGGAAGAGTTTGTGGTCTCGTTGCTTAGCTACTGCAGTGTCATTGACCCTCCTGTTCCGGTGGCTTCCACCATTGGCCAAGAGGTTGGGAGTAGGAAAGCGTATCCCAGGCTGGCAGGACTCGCCCTCTGTCACGGGTGCCTCGCTTCTTTTAGCCCTGGGCCCCCCGCCATAGTGTGTGGGAAGCCCATTGCAGCTCCTGTGACCCAGTCCTCAATCCACGGAGGAGTGTCTGGTTTCCGCTGTGAAGGTGGCGCTCGTGCCTTTCCCTGACAGGTCTGGTTGATGCCTGCCCCACATGGTACCCGATGCTGGACTCCTGTACCCTCTTTTCCTGCTCTTCGTTTCTTCCTTTGCTTCAAGTCACTCAGCCCCGTACTGTATCTAGCACCACAGAAACCTCAGTGTTTGGCCTCTGCTGCGCTTGGGCACAAGAAAGCCTTGGAGGTGGGGCAAAGGCCGTTCTCATCTAGAATGTACTCCCAGGCCAGGGCTGCTGCCTCTCCGGATCCTCTCACACAAGCCCAGAGGAGGAAGCCCTTTGGGGGTGGGGAGGGTGGGGATTTCATCTCAACCTAGGCTGAGGAGGGAGGGGGGCTTTTTATTTTTTTGTAACATGTTAGGAGTTAATGTTGCAAAGAGTAGTTTACATCTTTACTTTCTGAAGACACTTGAATTTAGGACCGATGTATCCTGTGACAAGCATGCCAAGAGTGGCTGGGGCCATCAAGGCTAGCCACTTACACCGCCCCCTTCCCAAGGCAGTCTTAAGACCCAAGACTCGCAACAGCACTCACAGACCCGTGTACCTTCTCCCTTCCCTGGGCCGGGCTGAGCCAGTGCAGCCTGCGGTGTCACAGTGAAGAGCCAGGCTCAGGCTCATGCGGGGCAGGCTGTGTCCACCCGCCTGAGCCCAGAAGCCAATGCACTACCACTAGAGGAAGCTCCGGCCCCCTGGGGCTCGGAGGTGCTGAGCCTTGTCAGAGTTGTTCAGTGTTTCTGTTTTGTTGCATTGTAGCTTTTCCCCCTTCCCTGATTGATTCACAGACAAAAGCTGCTCAGAAGGTCCCAGAAGTGGGGAGGTGGGGAGGGGCAAGACAAGGAGTTGTTAGGATGGGTGAGTTTTTTGCCAAAAGCTTGAGCAGAGTGGTCTGGATTACATGGTACCCTCCTGAGTGGGAACTCCAGAGTACCTGTATGGAAGGGGCCCTAGATTCTCCCCCACTCCCTGTGCTTCCTCCTCCACCTGTGTTGATGGCAGAGGCAGAGAAGAGAACTTTCAGCCCATGTCTCACTGGAGAGGAAAACTTGTCATCTGGCTTTGCGGAGAAGGTTCCACCTTACGCTCGTAGTACATTATCTTTACCATGTGCTAGGATATCACACTTAAAAGGACAAAAAAAATGTAAAATACTTGAATGAGCTTGTATTATAACATTAATATTATTGAGAGTATCTGCTTCCCAGGCTGAAGTGATTCATTCATTAGTCCTGCTTTAGTCCTTTGTAATTTGTGGTAATTATGCTTTTCTTTTTAATACAAAAAATGTATAAAAATAAAAATATGAAAAGGCAAAATACTGGCTGGTCTTCCTTCACTTTGGGGCCCTTCTGCTAGGTATGGGAGATGGACCCAGTTGGGGTCCCCAGACCCAGGGGAACCAACCCCCTGCCCTGCATGTGCATGTGGAATCCCAGGTGAACACTAGAAGTGGGCTGAAACCCCAGGATGCCGCCTGCTCTCACTTCTGTGGCAGACACCAAAGGTAAACATGAATGCCATGCTGGTAAAGAAGATTTTAAGATTATTGTGGAGATTAGGGATGTAGCTGTATGGCACAGTGCCTGCTTGATTTTGATTCCTGATTAAAAAACAAAACAGTAGGGGCTGGGGATTTAGCTCAGCGGCATAAGCATCTGCCTTGAAAGGCGGTTGTGAGTTCGATCCCCGGTACCGATAAAAAGAAAAAAGACAAAAAAAAAAAAACCAAAACAAAACAGTAAAGCCTTGGATTTTGAGTAACTTGTTCTGAAAGTATTCCGTAAGACTAGTTACTAGTAAGTCTTTAGATGGTAAGCTAGCATGCATTACAAGGAGGTGATATCATGTGTCACATCACAGCTGAGCCAGTGATCCTCCTCCTCTGTCTCTGGCTGTGAGATGATCATCTCCCAACAGTAAGAAGTTGTGGAGATCTCATCTGCAGAGGAGAAAAGGTGGGAGGAATCCTTCACTTCAGGTAAGATTAGGAGATACAGAAAACCTCGATTTTGTAGAAGAGCACCACCCTAATAGGCTGCAGTGATCTGATGAATCTTTCATGACAATGCAGTGTCACGTTTTTTTAAAACTCTCAAAGGAGGCAAAAGTGTCATGGGATAGGTTCCTTGTTAAAGTTGCAGGGAAAAAAAGGTCCCATTGAGCCAATAGATAGCAGTGATCCCATTAGTGACAGTGAAAGTCATCACACAATAACCTTCCTCTCCTCACACACCAGCCGCGCATTTGAAGGTAAGTGCAGGTTAATTTACTTCTATTTATACTGTCTTTTATTTTGCGTTAATCATACTATAATCTATATATGAATATTGGTAGATTGTAGAAAAAAATTTTGAGTTTCCATTATTTCTTACAAGGAAATCGCTTTGATACACAAGTGCTTTGGATTACAAGCATGTTTCCAGAAGGAATTATGCTTACAAAAGGTTTTACTGTATGTGCTAACACAAATGGCAATTGCTTTATTCTGGTGGGACTTTAGGGCCATTGTATTTGATGCAGAAAAGGCAGGGCTAAGTGCCTATTTTAAGAATCAGTCACCTGCCTGCCAAAAGGAACAAGAGAGCGAGTCTTGTCCCTCTAGATTTCTTCTTTTCTTTTCTTTTTCTTTTTTTTGTCTTTTTCCTTTTTTATCGGTACCAGGAATCCAACTCCGGACTGCCTGCTTGCAAGGCAGGCGCTTATGCCACTGAGCTAAATCCCCAGCCCCTCCCTCTAGATTTCTTGGTACAGCTCAAAATCTAAAGACCCTAAAGAGGAAAAATACACTGCTTTCTCCTATCTCTTTACACATTCTCTTCTTAACTTTTTTTTTCTGTCCAGGCTGGCCATGAACTCACATCGATCCTCCTTGCCTCAGCCTCCCAAGTGCTAGGATTACAGGGTGCACCACCACACCCAGCCACCCAGCACCTTCTTTAAATATACAGAAGTCTGACTTTTTCCCCTAGATGTTTATTTGAAGGAACATATGCTGTCCAGGCCAACAGCAGGGAGAACATGGAGCTTTGATGGTCTTCCCAACAGCAGAGCTGTCCTGGGCAGGGAAGGGATGGAGTCCACCAAAGTCAAGAGTTGGCAGGGCAGGGCAGGGGCAGGCCAGCGAGGATGCTGCATGGTCCATAAGGCTTTAGCATCCTAGTACTGATAGGAGGAAGTCTTTTCTGACAGCTCTGCGTTGAAGAGCGGTGGCAAACCTGCCCTGCGTGCCACAGCAGGCTGTTTATATCACTGAAAGGTCGTTTCACCCTCATTGGCCTAGAGGTTTGGCCCTATCAAACATTAAAGTTTTGCTTTGCTTTTAAGAAATGGGATCTTTAGGGGCTGGGGATTTAGCTCAGCGGCATAAGCGCCTGCCTTGTAAACAGGCAGGCCTGAGTTCAATCCCTGGTACCGATAAAAAAGAAAAAGACAAAAAAAAAAAAAAGAAATGGGATCTTGGACTCTCGTCCAGGCTTAACACCAAATAGGACTCAAGCAATCCTGCCTGAACCTTCTGAATACTGGTATTACAGATTTGTGACAGTGTAAAACCACAATGTTTCCTGGCTATGTCTGACCAAGGGCTTTGTTGATTTAATTTTTGAGGCGGTCTCACTATGTAGTTCAGGCTGGTGTTGAGCTCACTTTGTAACTCAGGCTGGTCTTGAACCTGCAACGATCCTTCTGCCTTAGTCTCCCAAATTGTAACACTTGTAACTTGGGATTACAAGTGTGCGCCACCTTGCCTAGCTGGGCTTTGTTTTAAGTAAGGCTATCAATAAGACTTCATTTGAGCTGGGCTTGGTTGTTACATGCCTGTAATCCTATCACTCTGGAGGCTGCGGTAGGAGGATCACCATGAGTTCCAGGCTAGCCTGGGCTACAGAGTTGAAGGGCAGCTGGACCTACATAGTGAAACTCTCGAAAAAAGACACATAGTCCCTAAAAAAAATTGCAGTTTCCTAAAAAAGTTTAGTTTGTAAAAGGTGTCACTGCTGCTAAAATCATCCTGAATAAATGGTGTTAAGACAGTTGATTAACCATTTGGGGAGAAAGGATTTTGCCCTTTGGCCATGTTTTCTGGGTTCCTTTTTGGAAGGAGAAAGAGGGTTCTAATCGCCATTCTGATTCAAATAGGTATCCCTGAAGGGGGCCCCCTGATCCTTTCCTTTGTGAGCCAGAGGGAACCCCCCCACTGGAGCACTTCTCATGTTTTATCATCCATCTATTTTTTTGGTACCAGGACTCAAACTCATGACCAGGCAGGTGCTTTACTGTTGAGCTATATATACCCAGCCGATATTTCTCAGGTTTGGTTTCTGTACAGGCCAAAGGTTCTGGGGAGTTGTTGTGAGCCCCTGGTAACAGTCCTAATCCAGGGGAATTTCTTGGAATTTTTTTGTGCCTTTTCAGAGGAGGACTTTTATGTGCAGCGAGACAGAGTTGAAGTGGGGCCTTTGTCTCTGACTGGGATCTGGTTTAGGAAGAATTGAGACCTGGAATTAATGGCCAAGGTGCCCTGGCTCTGGCCAGAATAAGGGGTAAGAAAAGCTCTTGGGGGCAAAGAAGCAAAACCTAGTTCTCCATCATGGAGCCCATGGACTCCTGGGCCACTGCCACCTCTGTCCTCCTCTGTCTTGCCTAGGCCACAGGAAGTCTCCTGCAGAGGATGGGGTACTGGGCAGGCGCCCACTCTGGTTTCTGCACCTCTGGTGGACCTGCAGCCTTGGCAGCTTTCTTTATTCAAGCCTGTTTCTGCTCTCAGCAATAGTTGAGGGGAAGCCCTGGTGCCATCCTTTTCCCAGAGGCTGGCCACCTCTCTGTCCTAATGGTGCCATCAAGAGTATGATTAAAGGGGCAAACTGCCAGGTACACTCACTAGGCCTCAGGCCACCTCAGGATCATGGGACAGCCAGGATGTATGAGAGCCTTCTCACTCCATCTTCTTTGGGGAGTCAGGGATGCTCTCAGACAGTGGGGTGAAGCCCAGAAGGACGACGTGTCTCTCATAGGCCTTGGTCTGCTTAAACAGGATATCCGTCCCATGCAGGTGGTCCAGCACCCCAAGCACTCCATAGCACTGGTTGAACCTGGAGGAGAGAGGAGAGCACTGCATTGCTGGTGCTGGAGGCACACTGCTAGGTCTCCATTTCATCTGTTCCTGCCTCATTCTCCAGCCTCCTACCCCACACCTGTCTCCTGATTACCTGCACCAGAATGACCTGGGGAATTCTTACAAATGCACTTTTCTGGGGCCTGTCCGGTCCGGAGAAGGCTGGAGTCTTCCCTTCGGAAAGCTCACTATGTGATTATGATTAGGTTTGGGCAGCTATGTTTCAGGGACCATCTCCTCAGAAGCCCTTATAACTCGTGAAAGGGCAGGTTTCCAGGTTCTGCTGCAGTGGCTACTTTGATCCGGCATATTGGGAGTGTTAAATGCAAGAGCCTACCTCTTACACAACAGTGAGGAAGTTCAAAGAACATGCTTGAAAAGCTGGGGGATTTCACAAAACAAGATTGTTCTAGAATTGCATGGAAGATGTTCGCACCCAGAGGCGTTTTTCTGAAAAGAGCATCCATAGTTTACATCAGATGCTCGAAGAGGCCAGGACCCAGGTGAAGCTCAAGAATCCCACTTGCTTGAGGACCCAATTGAAGAATGAAAAATTCAAAGTGATTCCAGGAGGCCGATGATTGTCTCCACCTGTGGACATCCTCCTGCTGGCCCCCAAGTCCAGACAGACACCAGGGTCTGCTATCAGAAGCCTGAAGCGGAGGGCGAGGACCCACTGTGGGGAGGAAAGCCTTACTTGAGATGGTGGTAGTCATGGAATTCAGGTGAGGGCAGGAAGGGCAGATGGTAGCCACAGTGGGAGATGGAGGTGATGAGGAGGGCCAAGGAAAACCACACAGTGATGGAGGACAGATGGGAGCCCATTACCAAGGGACCCACTGTCACCGGCAGCATGTTGGAGGCCTGCAAGAGGAAGATAGATTGAAGGTGGCATTGAAGGAAAGGAGACCCAGGGAAGTGTCACCGTGCCCATAGTGCTACCACAGGAAGACTTGCTTGGCTCAGATCTGAAGTTTGGAATAGTTTCAAGATCTTGACTTGCTGGAGATGTTCACTTTTGTAACTTGGGGCAAGCTAATAACTGAGCCTCCACCTCATTAGCATGATCAGGACTAATGAGGTTATCAGGAGACTGGCGCTGTACTCACCACGTGCTCTATGGGGTGGGCATAGAGAGAGATCACACCGATGGGTGCTGTCCATTCGTGGTGCTTCTTGTGAATTTTCTTATAGAAGGCAGGGTGGTGAAGGAGCCTGGGGGGGAAAATATGCTGATTCCCTTTTTCTCCTCCCTGGCCAGACCAAGACAAACTGAAGGCTGGCACTAGCAGCTACAGCTACAGAGCAAAGTGGGAAACACTCTGAACTGTCACCTAGATGCCCTCAGAATGCGACCCCCCTCTTCGTGCTGCCCTTGGGGGGGCAGGTTACTTGCTTCTCTACCCCAGCTGCTTGAACTGGAAAACAGGGTGATTCCCAAAAAGGATTAATTCTGATTACAGGAAAAAACAGTAAAGGATGAAACTGCTATCTCAACACAAGCAGAGCTGCCCTTTCTTTCCTGAACATTCCTTCCTGCATTCAGAGGCCTCATTTTCCTTGCTGACCAGTGGACTACAGGTGGTGAGTAGCCAGCTGTGCACAGGCAGGGCCCCTGCTCACCTGTGTGAGTAGTAGAAGAAGACTTCCTCAATCAGGGTGAAAATCACCAGCTCCAGGAGGAACCAGTGGAAGGTAGGCAGCTCTCGGCGGCAGGGGTCTCCCCACCACTTGAGGACGGGATAGAGGGAGACCACCATGGGGAGTGAGATCAGGTACTGGTTGAACAGAACCGTGCGGATGGACTGGTGCAGTTTTACAGGGTCCACCTGGCCAGGGAAAAAGGAGGAGACGAGTGGAGAGGAGCCCCTCACTAGAGTTGGAGTCTGACATATGGTTGGCTGCTTCTGCCATTAACCCTCGCTCGGGCTGGGACCTCTCCTAGTAAGTAATGCTCCAGCAGCCTCAGTCTACTGGACCCATCGTCTTCCTGCTTCTGCCAGGTGTCCCCAGTGTCCCCCACACCATTTCTCCAGCTAGGCTCTGCATACTCCTAGTAGGTAAACCAAGGAAGCCTCCCGAGTACCTGGGTGTCAACTCTCAGATTGACATCCTAGCTTAGCCCCTCAGCCTCCTGTGTCCAGCCTCATGACGGCCCAAAGCAGAGAATGCGGCAAGTCAGGGAGCTGCTTTCCCAGCCACTTTGCTTCATCCTGGTGGTCACGGAGCAGCTGTCAGGACAGGGGCCTGCCCAGGTCTTCTCTGCGTTGCTGGCCCCAGGTGGCCATACTTTAGCCTCTATCACAAGGCCAGGTCTGACCGGCCTGGGGATTTTTTTTTTGGTCTTTTTGAGACAGGGTCTCACTATGCAGCCCAGGCTGGTCTTGAACTCAGAATGATCCTCTTGCCTCAGCCTCCCCAGTGCCGAGATTATAGGAGTTGCTACCATGCCTGGCTTGACCAGCCTGGTTTGAGATCACATGTAAGATGAAACCTTTTTCTTACATATCTCTTCTTGAAATTCTGATCACGAGGGAGGTGTATCTGTCTATTCATTATTTACTTAATGGAATTTATTGAGTATTCACTATGGAGCACTCCATAAATGTTCTTACTTTTATGGAGTTAATATTCTGGTATGGGAGATAGACTAGCAACAAATAAAAAAATATTAGTCTATTAGAAGGTGATTGTGTGTTTTGGTAAAAGGAAAAAGCAAAGAAGGGAAAGGGGCCTTGGAAGTTCCAGGGAAAGCGAAGTTGCCATTCATTTTGAACGCAGTGGTAAGGTCTGTGTTTTGTTTTGTGTTTTGGTCCTGGGACTCAGGACCAGACACTTGGCAGGCACGCAGTACAATTAGAACCTGAACCTCCCTGAAGGAGGAGAGGGAGGCGGCCAAACAGGCCGCTGAAAGAAAGAGCTGCCAGCTGAAAAGGCTGTAAGGCATGTTCCTGGCCAGCCTGGCTCAGAGGGCCTTGGAGGCCATTTGAAGACTTCAGCCTCTACTACAGGAGGAACAGGAAGCCATTGCAAAGCTAGAGTGCAAAAGAGACACAAAAGCTGGCCCTGAATAAAGGCCAGCAGCTTCCTGACACTGTTAGTTTCAAGCAAGAGCCTAAAGAGATGTCTATGGTCTGTTGGCCATTTCAGAACTTGGTCAGTAAAATGGTCAATTCATTAGAAAGAAACAGCTTGAAGCAACCCCTGCCCCCTGGTGGGCAGTTGTATGTGTGGCAGGCTCCAGCAACCCAGGACTGGAGCCACAGGCATTTACTGGGACCTGCACCATGCTGGGACCTGGATCTGGACCGCCAAGAAACCAAGCAACCCCCACCTCCCGCAGGTGAGCAGTTGTGGTTGTGGCAGGCTCCAGCGGCCCAAGATGAGAGCCACTGGCATTTACTGGGACCTGGAGTGCTGGGAAACAAAGCAACCCCTCCTCCACTGTCTGTTTTATTTTGTTGAACTTCAATATACATGAAAGTATGGACAGCTATTTTGAAGAGAACGAGAGACACTACGACAGCCATTAGTGACTTTCCTATTGTCTGGTTTTGAAGACCTAAAACACCTTCCTCATTCTATTCACATCAGTTCTATACTATGTTGTTTTGTATGAATTCTCTGTATGTGAAGACATGGACAACTATTTGGAAGAAAACAAGAGTCAATATGATAGTGAAGATCTCAGGTCGTCTAGCTTTGAAATTTATATCTCTTACATTGCTTTCTTATGTCCTATTTTGTTGTGTTTAATTTTACGCCCTTAAAAAAAATAGAGAGAGACACACACAAAAGAACAGGGAGACGAGCTAGAGCTGCACTGTGGCAGCGACGGCAGGGACAGGAGCTCGAGGTGGCCGTGGAGGCGCTGACCAGGGACTGCACTGTGGTCCGGGTGTTGTGCAGACACAGCAGGAAGGTCTCCTGCAGTGGGTGGGGAACGTGACGGGGAGAGAGCAGGCTGGCATGACTCAGGCTCTGCACCTGAGCAACTGGAAGGGTGACTGTCCTTTGTCCAGGGCAGGCAGGCTGTGGACAGTAAGAGGGGCCTGGGATGTTTGAGCCTGGAACTCAGGACAGAATACTGGGCTAGAGACACACATTTATGGGCTTTCAGCATATGGACGGCATTTAAGACCAGGGCTAGAAAAATGGCATGAAATAAAGGGGGAAAGAGGACCCAAGCCAGAGCCCTGGGGATTGTTCAACAGTGAGAGGTTGGGGAGGAGCCTGAAGGAGGGAACAGTAGAGCCATGCAGGTCCTCGCCAGAGGCTTGGAAGCCGCGTGGAGATACGAATGACGGATGAGGCAGGGAGCAGCTGTGAGAATGCGCTTGCTTGGTGGTGTAGGGAGAAGCTCATCGATCCATCTGCCGGAAGGAGCCCTGGCAGAGCCCTATTGGACGGCCTGACTTAGACCTGAAACAGGCCCCTAAAATCTCCTGCGTTCATCCACGGATGGACTTGAGATGACCGTGCCATGAGGAGGCATCACTGGGAGTGCTACCTGGAAGGGCGTATTCTATGCCATGGGGAGGCATCACTGGGAGTGCTACCTGGAAGGGCGTATTCTGGTCCTCTCTCCCCTCTCCTCTGTCTACTTCCTGGTTGCAGAGAGCTGAACTGCCTGCCTTCTTCCCTGCACCATACTGTTCCATCACGCGGTTTGTGCTGTGGAGCAAGCCAGCTCTGGACTGAACCCACAGAAACTATATGCCAAACAAACCTCTCCTCCTTTAAGTTGTGGGTGTTGGGTATTTGGTCCTGGCGATGGGAAAGCTGACTAAGGCAGGATGACCCGCTTGACTAGAGTTTATAGAACTAGATGAGGCTAGGCATGGTGGCACATGCCTGCAATCCAGCACTTAGGAGGCTGAGGCAGGCGGATTGCCATGAGTTTGAGGTTAGCCTGGGCTACACAGTGAGTTCAAACCTACTTTTTTTTTTAATACCAGAATTGAACTCATGACATCAGACAGGTACTTATGCTGCTGAGCTAAATCCCCAGCCATACATAGTGAGTTCAAAGCCAGCCTAAACTAGAGAACAAGATCCTGGCTTAAAAAAAAAAAAAAAAAAAAAAGCAACAGGAAACAGATATTGTCTTTGTGATTGTTTTAGGAGACACAGGCTGAAGGATTGATCTGGGGTAAAGTCTTACGAACTTATTTTCAAATGGTTCAGCAAAACTAGGTGCTTGCATAGGTTTATCTTTTATATCGATAAAGCAAAAGTTGTAGTATGTTTAAAATTGGTTATCTGTATGATATGTGAATGAGTGATCATTGCTTCCCACGGGGCAGCAGAGAGGGATCAAGGGAGGACAGAAGGAGAAAGAATCTTCCAGGCCACGCCCCCAGTGACCCACCTCCTCCTACCGACCATTCCTCACCTCCCAACATGACAAGTATAAACTCATCAGTGGACTAATCCACACCCCTCATGTTCCAGTCACCTCCCAAAAGTACACCTCCTCTGAGCACATGAGGCTTTGGGGACATCCATTGAGAAATCATAACAGGGTCTTCCTAAAAGTCTCTAAATTCCCCAGGCTGTGCTCACACTTGTGATCTTCCTGCTTCAGCCTCCCAGACTGCTGGGGTGATAAATACGCTACACATCACATGCCCAGGGGAATAAAATATGAATAGTAGTGTGACAGTGTGCAAAACAGAGTTGAGGGTTTGTTTGGGTTTTCTGAGACAAGATCTCATTGTGTAGCCCTGGCTAGCCTCAAATTCATGGCAGTCCCCTGGCCTAAGCTTCCCGAGTGCTGGAATTGCAGGGGTGCCCACCACACCAGGCCAAAATTGGTTTTAAAATGAGGAAAATCAGAGCACGTCTGCAACAATCCAGAGAGACAGAAATAATCTAGGGCAGAGACATATGAAAACCCACCGGGGAACTGCTGGAGGAGCAGACTCAAGAAGTGATGAATGCTGGGCAGTTTGCACAGGAGGGCTCACCCCCCACGGACTGGGTCAAGAACACCACCCTCACCCTCTCTGCCTTACCCTTGTCCCCAGTGGAAGAACGCCCTGAAGCTGGGGTGACTCACCCAGCACCTAGGCAGGTAGTTAAAAAACAATGGCCGTGGCTGGAAAAGCAGCCAGCTGTGGTTTGGATGGAACTGAGGAAAGAATGGGCCCTTTCCCACTGTGTAAGAAGAGGTGCCTGAAGTTCTCACAGCACCAAGGGAGCAGCAGGACTCACTTCCCTGTGCCCAGCGGCCAAGGCTGCCCCTGAGCAGGTATGGGCCTGTTTCTCAGGGACTGGCCCCAGGACTCTGCACTATCCGCTGGTTATCCGCTGGACTGAATCCTCCAGAAAGCAGCTACCACCCACCTATTCAGAGCTTCACAGCGGGGTCAGCCTCAGTCTGGGCTGCTGTCTGTCTGTCCCAGAGCATCTTCGGGTAGCTGTAGTTTCAGCTCACAGCAATTGCTGTCTCTGTTCCCACAGACAAAGGGGAGCTGCCTGACAACTCAGGAGCAGCCAGCACCAGGTCTAAATGAATGCTTCTGTTCCTGAAACGCTGACCAAGTGCTGCAGACCAGTAAATACAGCCTCTGAGCTGGGAACTGGGAGACAAGAATACTGGTCTAGACTGGCCATCAGCTGAGTGGCTATGAAAATGTGGGCAGAAGATTTTCTCCTAGACTGAGGGAGCCTTGAATACCATTCCTTGGCTTGCACTGGCCTTGGTCCCCTGGGCCGAGACTGGCTTTCTGGGCTCTGACCTCGGGAGCTGCAGCGACACTTACAGGCTCGTTCTTGCCCAGCTGGATCCGGTAGCGGGAGATGAAGGTAGGTTTTCCAGTTGTGTCCACCACAAGTAGCAGCCCATTGAAGGCCCAGAAGAGCAGCCCAGGCACTAGGGCAGCACCTGGGGTTAGGAAGCAGAGGGAGGTCAGTGGCTTCTGGGCTCAGGACGTGCGTGAGCTGCACACACACTTCACAGTGACTGTCCACTGCCTGGGGGGTCCTGGTGTGCAGGACGTGGGGCCGACCCTTAATCCTGGGTGACAGGCTAGCTACAAGACCAACAACAGTCCCTTAAGGATTGTATTTATTTTCTTAGCTGTAAAATGGGGACAAACAACTACAAGGGACACATTATGGTACCACATAGCATAAAGGATGCTAAAATATGGTAAATATCTATCTTTAAACTTTTGTTACAGCAAAAGACACACTGTTATTAATTCCCCTCAAAACCTCCTCTCACTTCAAACATGCTCAGCCCAGCATCCTTGCCACTCTCTAAAGCAGATCTGGAAGTCCTCTTTCATGAGGGGCTTTATTTGCACTGTCATGGCTGCGGTGATGCCCTGAATCGAATCAAAACCTTTACCTTTCATGGTCACTTTGACTTTGGAAGAACCAGAGGTTGCACAGTGCGAGATCTGATGAGGAAGGTGGACGAGCACACCCCGTGCGAACACGCCTTAGCGAGCTCACAAGACAGCCTTCCTGCCGGACAGCCCAGCACCCACCCATTCACTGCACATTTAAATCACACCTCACAAAGACACCCAAGAGGGCTTCTGGAACAGAACCAGCGTGTTCAAAGTAAGAAGGGAGTGTCATGAGGGGATGAATGGCAATGCGTCTTTACTATATTTTAAAAATTTAAAACCTGACTGTATGTTTTGATCACACCTTGTACTGTATATAATACTCCAACACAGAACTGAATTTAGTCCGTGTCTACCAAGCCCTTTATGAGTTGTCAAAGAAGAAACCAAGGGAAAACATCAGTTAGCTGGAAGCCTCATCCACTCCCTCACTAAATAAGCAGCATCCCTGTGGTCAGCATCCCAAAGCAGAAGACTGATTTCAAGGGGCTCCTTGGTGCAAGTTTCCATACCCTATTATTTGATTGATTGATTGATCGATTGGTACTGGGAATCGAACTCATGACCTTGTACTTGCCAGGCAGGCACTTATGCCACTGAGCTAAATCCCCGGTCCCACACCCAACTATTTGGAGAACCATGGTCCATACTGTTGTGCATACAGCCCTGAGAATTCCTGCAGCAGAGAAATCTGTTTGTGTCAAAATCAACCTTTGTAGGTAAGTGGTGCCCATCTGTAATCCCAGCATTCTGGAAGGCTGAGGCAGGAGGATTGCAAGTTTGAGCCTATCCTGGACAACAGAGGGACTTGGTGAAACCTCACAATAAAAAATAAAGGAGTTGGACTGGGGATGTAGTTCAGTGACAAGGCCCTGTGCTCAATACCTGGTACCTTAAAAAAAAATGTGTGTGTGTGTGTAAAAAACTCTTAGTCCTATTTGACCCTAGAACACTGTTTTCCCAAACTAACAACGGGACAACATTCATCCCTGTTTGCCCAGGACAATTTAAGATAAACTGATAACCTTTCACAGCATTGATGTGCTGGTGTGCTGTGTGATACTTTAGAGAATGCTGATCAGACTTAAAATTTAACTTTGGCTTTTTGCTCCACATCCCACCCTCCACGAAGTCACTTCAGAGATCTCTGCTCTCTGGGCTTCCTGCTGTGAACAAACAGCACTTTGGCCTCTGCAGCTGGAAGCCATTCAAGTGGTGTCACAGTGTCACCTAACTGGAGAATGGCTGACTTTATCTCCCGTGTTTGCTCCGCCTCTAGATCCCAGATCTGACAGGGATGCGCAGTTTTCACTGGGCTCTGTGTCTCCCCGCCTCCCTCACCCGGGCTCTGGGGGTAGGAGCCCTGGGAGACACCTGGCCAGTACAGCTGTCTGCCAGGTAATGAGTGGCAACAGATGCACCAAGAATGTTTTCCTGCAGCTCTCCTCACACACATCTGCAGTCTATCTGGCTCTTTCAGTGATTGCTGAAGATGCCGTTGAGCCTGTCAAAGTTAATATTCAGCCTATTTTCCGAGTTCCCCTTCTCCCTAAAAACTGTCCCTGGGCACATTTTATTTGTAATTTTGCTTTCCCCTCCTAGCTTAACACATTTTTTAACGGGACAGACAAATGTTTCATCTTATTTCTACATCCTCATACAGGCTTGGCTGTATTTAACTGTAATGTTAAAAAACAAGGGGCTGGGGATTTAGCTTAGCAGCATAAGCACCTGCCTTGCAAGCAGGCGGTCATGAGTTTGATCCCTAGTACCGATAAAAAGTTTAAAAAAAAAAAAAAAAGAGCAAAAAACATCATTAAGAGCCAGGGGTGGTGGTACACACCTGTAATCTCAGCCCTCAGGACGCTGAGGCAGGAGGTTCAAGGTTCAATCGACACAAGTTCAAGGTCAGCCTGGGCTACATAGCGAGTTCAAGGCCAATCTGAACTACGTATCGAGACTGTCTCAAAAATTAAACATTAAAAAAAATTTATATATATACGCATTGTTGAATGATTGAGAACCTTCACTGTTACAAATATCAGCGTTTAAATGGCTTTTTCCTTCTGTGGTATTAAGTTTGTTTGGAGCCATGGTGCTGGCTCTAAGTACAGCGAGGCCACCTGCTACCAGCAGTGAGAGCCCCAGGGACACAGTCTCAGACAAGACAGCTCCCTGCACTTGTGAAGTTACCAGCAAAAGCTGGATTACTGCTGTAAAATGCATTTGTTTTTATGCAAAAGAGTTATTTTCCTATATTTGAGGGACAGGGTCCTCAGTCTCTTAGCTTTTTCCAATATCTTCTTTGCAAAGTGCTCACAAGTTCGGTGCTCCATGGTATGACTACTTTTTGAACTTCAAGACCTCATCCTTTGTAATAGTAAACTCAAGTCTTAGAACAGAAAAGAAGAGCAGAACCAGAAGGAAGCTAAAATCCCACACCCACGCCCTCAGTGTGGGTGGTCTGGAAGCCTCACCTATTATGAAGAGGATCCACTCTTTCCCTTCGAAGTTCGACAGCAGCCTCTCCCACTGGGCTTGCCAAAAGCAGCCAGAAGCACCCCAAAATCTCTGAAGATGCCTTGAAAGAAAAACCATGCAGGTGTCTGGGTGAAAACCAATGAGTGGCAGCTTCCGACAACTCTGCCCCTGCTGGCTGCCATGCTCCCCACAGGTCCGGGCCTCGGGACAACGCCAACATACCATGTAACAGAGTTCCAGAAGGCCACAGTCAAGAGGAGGCTGGAGCCCAGGATGAACGCCGTCCTCCGCATGGAGCCCCAGATGTGTCCCTCCTGGAGCCGAACAAGAAGGGGTCAGACCCAGCAAGTGCCTCGGTCCACCTGGCTCACTGCCAAGCCCGACACCAGCAGTCTGCCACCTGCCTGCCAGCAAGTGCGCCTGATGACCTTGCCCTGCCCTGTGACCCCAGCCCTGCAGAGCCTGCTGTGTTAGTGAGAAGTAGAGCTCCTGCTCGAATGCCCAGGGATCACCCTGACTCCAGAGAAATTGCTGGGCAATTTTATCACTCAGCAAAGACTTCTATCGCTAGTCCTCTGGGCAAATGGAGACAGCCCTTTCCTGTACTTTGGAATCAAACAAACACAAACCCCCAATACCCAGAGTCATCTCCAACCCAGTGACACAAGCATCTGGGTGAGGGACCTGAGTTGCCTTGTGTTGAAAGCTCCCTGGGGTAATTCCTGTGGGCAGGAAAGATTGAGACACACTCATCATCGAAGCACCTGAAGAAATCCTTCACGAGTCACAGCAACTTGTCACTGCTGGGCCAGCCCTATTTTCCCATCCTGTTAGCCTCTCACTTTTTATAATTTTTTTTCTTTTTTTGTCTTTTTCCTTTTTATCGGTACCGGGGATTGAACTCACGACTGCCTGCTTGCAAGGCAGGTGCTTACGCCGCTGAGCTAAATCCCCAGCCCCTACCCTCTCACTTTTAAGAAAACAGCACACTGAACTCATGCTGAAGTTCAGTAGTTCAGTAATCCCTCTGCCTTCTGCAGGATTAGCCAGGGCTGCCAGATGGAGGGAATAATTAGCTGTTGGAGGAGGAAAGAGGTCAGTGGCCAGCGCTGGGCACCCCTTTCCAATCTCCTCTGGGAGGCTCTCCTCTTGGCCAGAGATCACTGCACGAACCAAGGCCAACCAGCAAGGCATGAGGTGCAGGCTCAGTGGAACACTGACTTCTAGACGTGACACAGCCTCCCCTGTATTGCAGACGGGAATGACACTGTCACCCACGCAGCCTACATTCCTAAGCGCAGCTGGGCGCTGTCTGGATTCCTTAGATCTGGAGGCCTGTGGAGCAAGGCCAGACACCGGGAGGGGAACAAACGCGACGAGGGCTGCATTTCAAGCCCAATTCCACCGTCTGGGGTGGCCACATTGGTTTGATGGAGCCCCTCCATGCAGTGTGGACTCATACTGGACTGTTTCTTCTCCGCACTATTACATGCTATTTTTGATCAAGAGAACAACCAAAAGGATGTCTTCTGCCATGGCCAGTGAAATCTGGAGAGCTGGTGCTTGTCAGGGTGCCGAGTTTTCCCAGTGGGTGGTCACGGTGTCTCATATGCCTGCCTGGACAGAGAAGAGCTTGTTCTGTGACACAGGCCATGCAGAGGCCACTCTGAGCGCTGCTAGGCTGGTTACTTTGGGCTATTCTGATGACTCCAGTTTTACGATTCTGAGGACTTTATTCGGGAACTTTTCTGGACTCACTGGGAATTTTTTTTGTTTTGAATTCATCAAATCAAAGTTAAGTTACAATCAGAATTTTATGTACAGGTTTAGATTTTCTTTTTTGTTTGTTTGTTTCTTTCTATTTTTTTTTTTTTTTTTTTTTTTGGTACTGGGGATCGAATTCACAACTGTGTGCTTACAAGGCAGGTGCTTATGTTGCTGAGCTAAATCCCCTGGTTTAGATTTTCTCAGGGATGGTGTGTTTTTCAATCTCTCCAGCAGCTCAGATGAAAGGAATACAATTACCAAGGCAAAGGTTCCCTGGGATGCACACACAGAAACTCACAGTGCCAAGGAGAGCTGGGGTCACAGATGGAGTCCTCCCCCAGACTCCAACCCCATGGGCCGCTGTCATCCCAGAGCAGGGGTTGGAAGGGGTGGTGCCAAAGCCTGAAAAATGGGTATGCTAAGGGCATAGGAGGCAGGCAGGTCTAGAGACTACAGAGAGCTGCAGGAACGTTCACCCCCCAACAGGCACGCACAGCACTCCCTCATGCGGGGAAAATGACCCCTCCTGTGGTTCTAAAGGAGCTCTGTTCAGGGAAATCAGCACCACCGTGCGGCAGAGGAGAGGGGGTGGGGACAGGGTGCAGGGTGACTGTTACCTGTTGGGACTTCTCAGCATGCAGAGCGTTCCCCACTGCAGCATCATCGCCCTTCATCTGCAATGAGAAAGCTTGCGTGAGTGCAGGCCTGAGCTCTCTACATGCAGCCAAGCACAGGGCCTGGGGAGTTGGGGCTGGCTGTGTTTTTGTTGTTTCTGGAACAGAGAAACTGCTTCTGAAACTTGTATGGAGAAACAAATAAGAAAGGGGCAGATACTGTCTGGAAGAAACAGGAGAGGCAGAAGGGAAAGGACAATGAATTCTAGGTCTCTCGACTATTAAAACCCAAAGCATTTAAACAAATGATCATGAACTTACTCTCTCTTCATTGCTTCTAGTTATTAAAGAATCACTAGTGTGAGAAAAAGAATGGACTTGTTTAACTAGGACTTAAAGAGCAGTTCTAAGACAAGTGGGTCACTTTTATTTATCACTTATTTATTTTTGGTAGTGTTAAACATGAGGACCACGATTTTCCTGAAATTTAGTTCTATGAAAGGGTATACGGAGATGGATGTTATTCATCAACTCCCTTTTAAAATGCAGTCTAGGCCAAAGATATAGCTCAGTGCCACAGCACCTGCCAGGCAAGTATAAGGTCCTGAGTTCAATTCCTGTACAAATAAGTAAAATAAAATGCAGCCTAACAAGAAACCAGGCACACCGGCACACTCCTATAATACCACATTCTGGGAAGCCGAAGTGGGAGCTCACATGCCTAAGCCAAGTTTGGGCAACTTAAGGAACATCATTTTCCAAAAATAAAGGACTGGGATGTAGCTCATTTTTATGTCTGTGGTCCAGTCCCCAGACTGAAAAACAAAAAAGAGTTTGAGAAATGTAGTTTAAACCATGAAAGGATAATTTCTTGTTTGTACCAGAAATTGAACTCATGACCTCACGATTGCCAGGCAGGCACTTGTACCACTGAGCTAAATCCCCAGCCTCAATATGTATGATTTTTATGTGTCAAATAAAAAAGAAATCGCTGTTTTCCGACCTTTTGCATCCCCAGCATGTACTCTTGCAAGTCTGGTGTGCCCCACTGAAGGACCTTTGCAGCCCGGCCCCTCCCAGCCTTTTCTCTTTATTGTACTCCCGGCATTCCTATTAAATTAAGGTCTTTTACAACAACACAGGAAATGGTGCCAGGACTTTTTTAGTGTTTTGTTTTTTCAGTACTGGAGTTTGAACTCAGGGCCTTTGCACTGAGCCATGTCTACAGCTCTTTTTAATTTTATGTTTTATTTTGAAAAAGGGTCTCACTGCTAAGTTGCTAAGTTGCCCAGGCTGGCTCTAACTTGTGATCCTCCTGCCTCAGCTTCCCAGAGCGCTGGGATCATAGGTAAGCACGGCTGTGCCTGGCTTGGTGCCATTAGTTTTATAGGGAAGTGACAGTCTGGAACAGGGGCAGGGTTTGGTGGGAAAGTTCTGGGACAACATTTGCTGTCCTTTGCTTCTGGCTTGACCTTGCTGGATATCCTACTGCTTCTTTTAGTATAAAGCTTTAGAAACTGTATGGAAAGATCAGTAATAATCAGGGAAATGGGAATCAAAGACCAATGTAACATCACTTGTGCTCACTACAATGGCTACTATGGTTTTAAAAAGACGGAGGACAGCAAGCAAAGTGGAGAAAAAGGAACTCATGAAGTCCCGTGGTAATATTCGCACTCTCAGGTATATAACAGGCAAGCGATGTGTCTGGTGGAGGCTGCCTATGCAAGACATGGTCTGTCCGTGAGTGGCACCATCCCGCCCAAAACAGGACACAAAGCTCTGACACATGGGTGAACCCTGGACCTTACACTAAGTGAACTTCGCCCGACACCCAGAGACAAATACCGTACTCCACCACTTCTCTTACACCACTTCTCTGGGGCGGGTCCAGTAGTCAGAGTCCAGGAACACAAAGTACTGTAGGATGCTGGTTGCCAAGCCCAGCCCAGGACGGGAGATGGAAAGCTGTCGTAGATGGACAGAGCTTTAGTTCTGCAAGGTGAAAAGTTTCTGGAACTCAAGGAATGTGAACGCAACACGCCTAAGCTTTAAGCTTCCAATGATGGAGATGGTGAACTCTATCATTTTTCAGAAACCACGCTGGTGGGAGGAGCTTTAGTAATTAAAAAGTGTGGTGCCAGCACATGAGCAGGCAAACTTTAAGAAGGAATAAGGATAAACAGTGTTACAGGCAGCTGAGCTAGTTAGGAATATTCTAGGCAGTGAGACAGGGGAGGGCGCTCCAAGGACCCAGAGCCGAAGTTCAGACACCTTGCAGCCTTGGAAGAGAAAATCACCTGTTGTGGGTCAGATCTCAAGACAAAGGCAAAGTAAATACAATCCCATCCTAAGGATCCACAGTCCAAACAGTTCTCTGTCACCTGAGGAAGTCAGGAGTCAGCACCCCACCCCGCTACAGGAAGAGTCACTGCTGCTAAGCTTGCCGCTTACTACTGCACTGTACCCCCATTTGCTCCTAATTTAATCTATTTTACCTAAGTAATTATTGCCCACAGTTCTCTCCATCCTTATGCCCACTTTGCAAATTCCCACTTCTCCCCACCTTTGACACATCTAACCCCATGATTTTACTCTATAAAAGTCCCTGGAAAAAACAGAGTCCTTGGCAACTGGCTCGGGACTCCTTCTGTCTCTGACGGAAGCTTTCTTTCTCTCAATAAATATATCCTGCTCTTAACCTCCGTTGTTCCTAAAATTCATTCTTCAGTTTTAGAGAACATGAACTCCTATCGGACATAGGTTGGGAGTTTTATTCCCCCGTATCAATAGGACTATAATCCCCAGCACTCCAGAGGCTGAAGCAGGAGAACCCTTGCAAGTTTGAAACCAGCCTGGGCTACAAAGGGAGCTCAAGGCCAGACTGAATTGCATAGTGAGACCTTGTCTCAAAAAGACAAAGGGGAAAAAAAAAAGATAAATAGGACAGGGAAGGAAAGCCCCTGCTGGCCAGGCGGGGCTCCACAAGGTGGATACCCCGAGGTGGTTAGACCTAGCCTTTTTAGCGGTGAGAAAGCTGCAGAGGGACAGCTAGCTAGCTAGCATGCGGGGACCAGTGGCCACTGAGCTGCTGCTGGGCTCCTGCAGCCTGGAAAGTGGACTTTCTTTGTCTAGGTTTTTCCTAGTTTAAAGTGACTTGTCCTCCGTCCTCTGATGACCTGAGGCTTATGTTCGGCCCACTCAGGTCCCGGCCTTCATTTCACTCGGTCTGCTCCGGCCCTGTGCCCTAGTCTGTGCACTGCCCCTCCTCTAGTTCCAGGTCTCAGTATGAACGTGTTAGCTATTCCAGACTTTTAACTCTAACTTTTGAAATCATAATCAAATTTTCAATGGCAAATTCTCCTCCTCATTCTGTTCTGGGGACATCACCCGGTGCCACTCGCCTGAGCCTGGACTGAGCTCCTGGTCCTGACCACAGTGCTCCAGGAAGGTTCGACACAGAGACAGCAGCCTGTGCCACGGCTGTCATTCCTGGCTCAGAGCTGCTGAAGAGCATCACAGGTCATCTGCAGCTCCGTGTGACCGGGACTGAGGAGCCAAGACAGTATGTATTTTGGATCTGACTTTATTATTCCGGATGTTGGTCTCCTCGGCCTTTGGGATACGCTGATTCCCTCTGGCCCACAATTCTCAGACACTCCTCATGCTGCAGGAAGGAAAAGAGCTCCAGGATCTGTGAAGGGCCCTTCAGTGTGTGGGGCATCGGGCTCCAGGAGGTGGCGATAAACAAGCTGCTCACCATCTCCTGCGGATCACCTGGCAGCAGGGAGAAGGCACAGGTAGGCGGAGGAAGGACCTCTCGGGAATCAACAGTGAGGCCTTAAGAGCCAGCCAGGGAGACAGCACTGGACTCAGGAATGGGCTCGCGAGTTCCCTGCTTCACTAACTGCAGAGGGGCCCCCTGCAGGCTGCCCTGCTGTCTCCTGCACTGAGCTATGCCCCAGGCCCTTCCAGAAGGCTGCCTGGCTGAGAGCAGGGGAGCCTGCAGTGGGCTGCAGGTGTGTACTTTCTGCCCTGGCGGACGTGGTAAAGTGAAGCTGCTGGCAGCAGTCCTCCGTGTGTGTTTCTTAGGGGTGCCCTGAGGTCACAACTGCACCAAAAGGGCTTGCAGCAGGCTGGGGGAGCAGGTACTTCAGGATGGCAAGTCTCAGCCCGTACCTGCAGGAGCACTCCGCCCTGCAACTGCTGGGTAGTTTAACCAACAGTGTTTCAAGAGGAACATGCCTGTGCCCCACGGCTGAGGGAGGCTGAGGCAGCAGCTCACAATCTGAGCCCAGTCTGAGCAGCTGGTAGTGAGACTCTGGCTCACAACATAAAGGCCACCATGGCTCTCCCCATGACAGCCCGGCCTGTGTCCTCCAGGGTGTGCTTTTATCTTGCTTTTACCTCTTTTTCTAGGCCCAAATTCACTCTGAAGAGCCCGTTTCTCCCCTAAATCTCTTTTATTTTTCCAAGAAACTTTGCGAAAATAAAATAGGTTGGAGATGTACTTAGTAGAAAACCTCTGGGCTTGGTCCCCAGTATCAAAACAAACAAAACCTGAGTTTGGCAGGATTTTATTTGATTTTTGAGACGAGGCCACACTATGTAGTTCAGGCTAGATCTGAACTCACTATGTAGCCCAGGTTGGCCTCGAACTCACAATGATTCTCCTGTCGCAGCCTCCTGACTGCTTGCATTATAGACATGCACCACCACGCCCACCTTAGAGGACTTTAATGCAATCTTTTTAAGTAATTTTCTGTGCCCTTCTTGTCCTGGGAAATTCCTGGGGCTCCATCCTGAATCTGGCCCATAGCCCCAGGCAGATAAGAGCTATGCAAAGAGAAGCTGCCTGTCACCTAGTGCTAGGAGTCTGGGATGAGGCAGAGTCACCTCCAACATGGTAATCTGCTTGCTGTGTGGGCTCCCACAAAGCAAGGTTCCTGAGACACAAAGGAGGTAGTGGTGCTAGGCATCTTTGTGAAGAGGAGCACTTCAAGTTGGGAAACGCTTGGGGACCGGAAGGTCTACAAACCATTTGCAGACCGCGCTCCTATCCACATGGGTGCTTACTTCCAGTGCTGTCGCGAAGGCTGTGAAGTTGAAGGAATTTGTTTTAAGCTTCTAGGACTCTTCTGCTGTGCTATACAACACAGTAATGCCCATTATTTCACTTAGAAGTAAACAGAAAATCTCTTCCCAATTTTTTCCCTGTCTTACCACGTCAGGAGTCGGAAGGATCCCTGTGAGTTCAAGGCCAGCCTGAACTGCATAATAAGATGCTGTCTCAGACAGACAGACAGACAGATGGCCATCTCTACTCTCAGGATTGCTGCAACAATTTTTTTTTTTTTTGGTCCTGGGGATCAAACTCACAACCTTGCACATGCCAGGCATGTGCCTGTGCTGCTGAGCTAAATCCCCAGCCCATACTGTAACACTATTTACAACAATCAAAAACTAGAAACAACCTAACATTCTATTAACTGATGAATGGATAAAGACAAAATATGATACATATACACAGTGTTACACTATTCAACCATAAAAAAAATGCAATCCTAGTGGGTGTAGTGGCATATATCTGTAGTCCCAGCCCTCAGGAGGCTGAGGCAAGATCACTGTGAATTTAAGGCCAGCCTGGCCTACACAGTGAGCTCAAGACCAGCCTGAACTACGTAGCAACACCCTGTCTCAAAAAAAAAAAAAAAAAAAAAGGAAAGAAAGAAAGAAAGAAAGAAAGAATGGAGTGTTGTCATTTGCAGGGATGGGCTGGAGATAACTACTAGGTCAAATAAGCCAGACACAAAAAGAAAACTACCGTCATGATCACTGTGATGTGTGCAATACAAAGAGCTGATCTAGAAGTTCACAGCAGAACTGTGGTTGCAGAGGCTGAGCATGGTAGGGGGAAGGAGCACAAGTCACCAAGTCACAGGTGGACAGGAGAAGCTCGAGTGCTGCTGCACAGCAGGGCAACCTCAGGTAACAACGGTGTACTGTACACTTTAAAGGTCAGCAGAGGCAGGGCATGGTGCCGTGCACCTGTGACCCCAGCCTCGGGATGCTGAGGCAGGAGCGTCACTGCATGTTTGAGGCCAGTCTGAGCTACACAGCGAGTTCAAAAGCAGCCTGAACTGTATAGTGAGAGGCTGTCTCAAAAAGACCAACAAAAAAAGAAATTCAGTCCCCTTTATTAGGCACTGAACATTCCTAAAATAACTAGCTTGCCTCTTGTCTAGCTTTGCCTTTAACACAGGTAGATTTAGTTCCTTAAGAGCTTTTTTCCCATTTTTTTTGAGAGGGTCTTGCTATGCATAGGTCAGGGTGGCCTTGAAATCACAGCAGTCTTCCTGCCCCCAACGCCGCCGGGGTGCTTGGATTACAGATGTGTAGCACCACACCTGGTTAGTTCCTGGAGGGTTCTGAGGAGTCTTCTCCCTGCTGAAATCATGTCTACTGTTGTTATTCTTTACTGTTTATTCCTCAGAACGGAAGCACTCGTAGCTGTCACGGGGTTATTTTTTTTTTTTTTTTAATTTAAAGAAAGACAAAACAAAACAGAAAATGGGCAGAAATAGTACATACTTTCAAAGAAAAAAATAAACAATAATAAATCACTAGTTAATGTTTACATATTGTCCCCCCACAAATAATTGTTCAAGATACAAAAGTGGAGCATATAAATGGGAATTCAACCAGGGAGACTGCAAACAGTCTGTTCAACTATCCAACAAACACTAAGTAATATGGCCATCAATCCGTCACGGGGTTATTAAAAGCAAGTGTGACTGAGTGCCCCAGGTGACGGTGGCCACTGCTCCCTGCCCACTCCAGGAGTGCTGAGAGCCCTGCTTGTTTCCTCAGGTGTGTGCATTCTGATGCCCTCCACCCAGCTGTGATTCAGCACAGCTGTCTATGGTGTAGGTCCTGTTACTGGAAGCTGCCTCAAACTCGTTTGAGATGGGGCTTGGAAGTGAAATACAAGCAGAAAGAAACTGTTATTCAAATTATAGACAAAGGCCAAGAGAGACGAAGCTGACGGCCACGAACAGCACCCTAAGAGCCTGGTCCTGGAGAGGCAGCTCTGGTGCGGGCCAGGTCCCTTCAGTGGAAGCTGGAAGTACTGGGCTGAGAGGGCAGGGCCTGCCCCCAGCGCTGGCCTCTCACTCCTGTCCAGCAGCCCAAGGGAAAACGACCTTGTCTTCTGCTGGCTGGGAAGGCCCTGGCTGCAGGAGCAGGAGCAGCAGCATTGACCTGCTGACATCTGACTGCGTCAGAAGCAACGAACCATTTCCTCACATGCGTTTATTCTTCAGCTATGCCAATAAGCCCAGATGCCCACTCCCAAGATACTGACCTCAGTGCTGAGTCCTCTAAGCTACGCAAACACATCACCCGACTGAATATTTTATGCCAAAGCAGATTGCTGTCTTGCCGGAGATACGTTTTCAGTCTTATGAGAGCTCGGTCAGTCGGACAGTTTCTAAATGAGACCAGAGACACGGGCGCAGATGAGTCCTCACCCCAGGAAGTTCCTTGAACATTTTTGCCAAGGACAGCAGTGAGGTTAGAAACTTTGACAAGTAAAATTAGGGACATTGTAAATATTTAAAAAGCCAAAATACTAATTACGAAACAATAATTTTCTTTTTTTTGAGACAGGGTCTCACTGTGTAGTTCAGGGTAGTCTTGAACTACGTAACCCAGGCTGATCTCAAATTCACAACCATCCTCCCTGCCTCAGCCTCCCAAATGCCAGGATTGCAGGCGTGCTTCATCACAGCTGGCCATACGCTGTAATTACTGATATTTATTGGGTTTCCTCTTTTCAACTTAATTTTTTCTCTGTCTTTTTTTTTTTTTTTTTGGGCAGTGGGAGCGAATTCATGACCTGTTACACCACTGAGCTGACGCCCCAGCCCTTTCTCTACCTTTTGAAGGCTCCCTAATCTAAGAACTGAAAGTTGTCTTTCAGTTTGTCTATTTTGATGCCTCCATTTTCCATGAAGAAATGGAGACACAGCAATGTTCAGTCTTCAGCTTCAAATATGACAGCTAATTACTGGCAGAACTTGAATTGGGGCTCCTTATACAAACTGAAAATGTTGAAAGTATAGTATGGTGCATTGATGCTAACAAATACAGCCTAAATTACAAAACTAAAATGCATAAAAAGACGAGTCAGTTTGTACTAGCCATGAGTGGTACATGTGTTTTACTACTAAAAAAATGTTTTCTCTAAAATATTAATCATCCTTTCAGTGAACACAGATATGTGCCAGATACAATGGTAGACACATGGAACACAAGATTTTTCGCCTTATTTTTATTTATTTGAGACTGGGCCTCTGTGTAGCTCAGGTTGGCCTTGAACTTGTGGCAGCCTCCCAAGTGGTGAGATTACAGGCATGTGCCACTATGCCTGACTTTGCCCTATTTTATAAAGTAATACTACAGAATCTGATTTTCCAAATGATCACTTTTTAAGAGGAGAATATGAAACAGTGATTTAACAAAGACAATGATTCAAGTCAGCAAAGAAATATACTTTGTAACAATGGATTGTTTCTTACTTAAAGGGAGTTTGATTTACACTGTGAGATCATCCAAATGAAATACTTTTTAGACCAGTTCTGCTGAAAGCAGATAAGCCTCTGGCTCTGCAAGCTTTTTATTGAAAAATCCCCAATCTAGAGAAGTGACATGGCTATAACTGATGCTCAAGACCTCAAGAATCTGAACACAGGACAGAGGAAGACAAGAAGAAGGTGAGAGCAGGAAGAGTAGCGATGGTTTAATTTTGAGACACATCTGCAGCCCAAATTAGATTTTCTTTCAGACTCTGGGTTCACAGACATTCTGCTAGGCTGGTGAATATCCCTGCTTTGAAAGATACAGCACCTTCATGCACATGTATTTTTTAAAAATATCTTACAAAATAAGACAATTCTAATAGTTTACTTTTAGGGGAGAAACACTACACAAAACAAAAAAAGCGCTCATCTGGCCCCTCTTCAACTTATGGCTAAGGAAATGGCCTTGGACAGCAGAAGTGGCTCGCTCTGAACCCCACTGCTTCTGCAAAATCCTACGGAACACTTGGTCTGGTGCTGCGTGCTTCTGGGCTGACACAAATTCTACTCAGAAGTGGGAAAACAACACAGGATGAGAGCAACTGAGGCCAGGACCGCAGCTCCCTTGCTTCTGCGTCTGCCCTTAGGCTGTTTCTGTGCCAGGCAGGAGCTGAGCGGTCTGCCTTCTTCCCTGGGGAGATGAGCAGGAAAGGCAACCACACAGTTTAGGGCCCTGGGTGAACAGGGTTGAGTTTTTTTGTTTTTTGGTTGGGTTTTTTTTTTTGGGGGGGGGGGTCTTTTTCAGACAGGGTCTCCCTATGAGTTTCAGGCTGGCCTTGGGCTCATTCTGTAGCCAGGGCTGGTTTGAACTTGCAACGATCTGCTTGCCTAAGCTTCCCAAGTGCTGGGATTGCAGGAATGCACCACCATGCCCGGCTCTGAAGAGGGTTTTGAAGAGCTTTGAGCCCACCTTGAGCAACTTAATGAGACCATGACTCAAAAACAAAACATAACAGCTGGACCTAGGGACACATGCCTGTAATCCCAGCACTCTGGAGCCTGAGGCAGAAGGACCACAAATTTGAGGCCAGCCTGGGCTACACAGTTAGTTCAAGGACAACCTGCACTACAGCTTAACCCCTGCCCTCCCTATAACAACAACAATAAAAAGGCCAGGGATGTGGTTCCATGCAAAGGCCCTGGGGTTTCACCCTAGTACTTGGAATGAAATAAAAATGAGAGACGGTTTTCAGTTTTTGAGAGGCTGCTATGACCCAAGGATTGCACATATCCAAGGCATACATAGGAGGAAGAATGGCTGAGATTCAGTCAAAAAGATAACACGCTTTCGAGGAAGGGTTAACTTTGAGACAGAAATGGCTCCCTCTGGTCTGTGTCACTGCCTGGTACTTGTGCCCTCTGCCTCTCCCGAGTGAGCGCGTGAGCGCGAGCCCCAGCGGCTCAGCACCTCGCAGGGCTGTTTACTTTGAGCTCCACAGCAGACATGCAGGAAGTGTCTGCTGAAATACCAACAGTAACCTAAAGTAAGGAAGGGACCATCTGCTGTGGAGCCTTTCTCTAGTGCCAAGGACCTGCTGGTCTGCAGAGAAGCCGACGGTCTTCTGTATCCCAATCAGTGAAACGGATCTGGAACCGCATGTGAAATTTACACAACCCACAGGACAGCAGCTTGTCTGGCTTGTCTTAAGCCCCAAAGGGTTTGTAGAGGACCCTGAAAACCACCGGCCAATTCTCTCTTCCATCCCACACCCCGACACCATGCCTCTGACCACACAGCCTTCAGATCTTGAGTATTTTGAGAACTGGGACGATTGGCAAAGGACCCTGGAATGTTCCAGTAAAGCAGCTTTGAGCGAACTGTGCAGCTCACTGCCCACCATGTAAATTAGCTGTAAAGCCTGTAAAGCTGGGGTCATCGGTCCCGGCCCCTCCAGCCCCTGGCAGCTTAGAGTGGGGCAGGAACAGGCAGGGCTTCCCGCGCCGGTGACCTGCGGGGAGCTGCTCCCGCTCACAGTTTGGAAGCTGAACCAAGGCCATCGGCATACCTGTCAGTTGCTGGAAAAACACTACCGATGAGCTCGAGGGAACGCACACAGGAACAGGACGCAGACGCCCCGAAAAGCGAGCAGAGAGCGTCCCGGGACCAGGTTCCCCGGCGACCCCCGCCTGCTCTGGGAGGACAGAGGGCGCCGGCCGAGCAGAGACGAATCGGACCTCCCGCCCCTCCCCAGCAGCGTCCCGCCGCGCCCCTCACCTTTGCAGCGCGCGCCTGGCTCCTGGGGTCCCGCACTAGCCCTCTCCGCCGCTTCCGGCCGCGGCCAGCCGGGGGAGCTGCGCAGGTCGGAGGCTGGGGGGAGGCGGGGCGGGGTGCATCCGCGCCGCTGATTGGCTGTGACCCGCTCGTGACCACCCAAAGTTTGGGTGGGAGAGGCTGGGAGATGAAGTGGGCGCTGTTCTTCGTGAAGGGCAAGTCCTGACCCGACCCGAGAGGGCTGGCGCAGCTCCATCCAGGGCTGGGCAGAGTCCGGGCAACCCCTTTCCTCTTCGGGTTTTGTTTTGTTTTGCTTTGTTTTTTGTTTAACTTTTTGAGACAGTGTCTCACTATGCGGTTCAGGCTGGTGTCAAGCTCACTGTGTACCCTAGGCTGGACTCGAACTCCTCTTGTGATCCTCTTGCCTCAGCCTCCAGAGTGCTGAGATTACAGGCGTGCACCACCACACCCAGATACTCTCGGCTTTTGTTTTTAAAGAATCTCTTCATTTCCTGCAGTTTAAGGAACTGTCCCTGGCAAGTGGCAGGGAGGTTGAGTGAAAGACCTGGTGTCAGATAAGAGCGTGGGGCCTGCATGTGCAGAGTGTGTGGACCGGACACGCACCTGTAGGGGCAGTGTACTTACAGTCCCTGTCATGAAATGGGGAGCAGCTTTGAAAGAGCTGAGTGCTTTATCGATTTCTAAAAATGATCTTCAACAGGTAATGTGTATCTGATGACATAGTAAATAGAAAAGGGTCAAAAAGAGAGGCGTCACCAGTCTCCATTTCTTTCCCCCAAGGAGTAAGTCCTGTAGTCAGGCCTTGCGTCTGCCTCCTTTCCATGTAACTAGACACAGATCTGTCTTGCCTGGCACCTTCCCTTTGCAAACTACATGTCTGTCCTGCACGTGGGCCCTCACCCCCACTTAACACTCCAGGAGAGACTGTTCCATGAGTGTTCTTTGTGGGTAGGGACATGCTACCCTGTCATGGGCATGTGTCCTACTCTGGCCTAAAAAGGACCATGTCTGAGTCATCTTTCCTTAATTCCCTGCACAAAATTGGGGCTCAGAAGGGCTGGGGATTTAGCTCAGCGGCATAAGCGCCTGCCTTGCAAGCAGGCAGTCTTGAGTTTGATCCCTGCTACCGATAAAAAGGAAAAAGACAAAAAAAAATTTTTAAAAATTGGGGCTCAGTAAACAGTGTTTACAGATTAACTACATTTTGTAAAACTTGCTCATTTTTTAAAAATCTGGCCTTTTAGAGATGCCAGCATAGTTTTTCAACAGTCTAATATTTCTATAATGTACACAGCCCCTGGCAGACCAGCTCTATCATGCACACAAATCAAACTTGGCTACCTGATTCCTAAGGCCCAGTTTTTCTGACTCTTCTCACATAACATTATTTCCATTCCTTTCTGCTATGTAACGCTCCAGGTATTACTTCAGTGTGCATTTAATATTTATTTACAACGATGTACAGAAATTTTCTATTTTCTTTTATTTCAGTGTCTTTGCAGATGATGATCCTCACACTCAGAATATCCTTCCTCTTCCTGTCCAGTCTTCTGCTTCCTCTTTTTTTGTTTCCTGTTTCTTGTTTTGTGGCAGGGCCTCTGTGTAGTGTAGGCTGTCTTTGAACTCAGATGTATAGTTCCCGCTGGCCTGAACTTTTGAAATCTTCCTGCCCCAGTCTCTGAAGTGCTGGGATTACAGATGTGTGCCACCATACCCAGCTTGCTTTTTTTCTTTTTATCGGTATTGGGGATCGAACTCACGACCACCTGCTTGCAAGGCAGGTGCTTATGCCGCTGAGCTAAATCCCCAGCCCCTTGCTTTTTTTCTTTCTGAACTTTTTTAGTTTATGTGATGAGTATTCCCTAAAATAGCAGATAATTTTTTTCTCTATAATCATTTTATACAGGATCTTTATGTATTTACATGGCACTAATAACTCTGGCATAGTAGGTCCTCAGTAAACAGCTGATGTTTTTGGACGAGCTTTGTAGAGAGGGTCCCATCTCCCACGAGAATCTTACTGCAGCTCCCTGGGCTCTGTAGCCTGCTTTTCCAAGGCCTCTGCGCTTATCTTATAGTTGTATGCAACGCCCCCTCCTGGCTAATCTTGAATAGAGCGCTCCTGAGAGGAGACCCTGAGAGGTCGCGTTCAGGGGAACCGGAACTCACTTTGCCCACTCTGTGATCCTCACCTGAGTCTGTTTCCTCATCAGTAAATGGAAAAAAGAGAATTAGTGGATCTCCGAGGCCCCTCCAAGTTCCAATTTCTGATGACCTGGAATTGAGATTTTCTGGAATTGAAATTTATGATCACGTTTATCCATTTCTCTGGAATTTGTCTGTTAACCCCTGGATCTCCCCAAAATACACATCTGGTTACAAACTTCATAGAAATTCGTTTTTTTGTTTCTTCTGGCTTTTTGGATACCAGGGGATCGAACTCAAGACTTTGAGCTTGCCATGTAGGCGCTTGTGCCACTAAACTAAATCACTGGTCCGTTCTATAGAAATTGTTAAGACATAGATTTGGTTGTAACATTGCAAACTATGGGTTTGTTGTGGGCACACACAGCAGAGAGAGAAGTTAGGATTCCCGAGGACAAGTTTTTCTCTGAATGTGCTTATGTGCTCTTTCTTTTGGCTTGCCTTTCCACCTGGCTAGCTCTGTATAAGAGGAGAGCAATATTTTTCTTTGTAGATGACTAAGTGTTCAGTTAATAGACTTGAAGATTTTCACAAGAACATTAATCAAAAGGATTTAATGGCCATTAACTTTCGATCAGTTACCTAGTAAAATTACCTAAGGTGTCCTCTTATATTTTTATAGTCAACATATTTACCATTGTTACTGTTTCGGGGCACTGGAGTCTTCTTCTGCAGGTGGTTTCTAGGCTCTTCACCCTGAGCAAAGAGTTGGTAAAGACACAGGTTCTGCAGAGTGTGTTTGGGTTAAGTAGGAAAAGGAGTATAGCCCACACACAGTGCGAGAGCTGCCACCTTGTAAGAGAGAACAGAAATCTCAATGTGGATCAAACCTTTTTATTACCCAGTCCTCGGGCTGACGTCAGCTCTGCGCTATCCAATCAGAAACCCGTTTGAGATATCGCGAGAAGTCCGCTGGCGGAGCTTTGGGAACTTCACTGTGTGTGTGTGACCTAGGGTCTTGTGGCACCTCTTTTCCTGGCCTGTTTTAGCCATACATACCTTCCTGTTTCGTTTCCCCCTGAGAGAAATCCCCATAATTCTTTAGGGAGTGCTGCGGGAGTGGAGGTCTCTATTTTCTGTAACTTCTACACCATAGATCATACTTACTCAGGCTTATGTGCTATCCGTCCATCTCCTTTGGAGTGCTGCGGCTCACTGGCCGAGTTGAAGAGAAAAACAGAAGACAATGAGAAATGAATGACTATTAAAAAGATGACTAGTGACTATTAAGCTGCCTGTTTGATGGGAGAAAATAACTACTATTTTCTCTGGGATGTAGTATGCAAGTATGAGCAGCAAGTCAAAGGTGTGTCATGCTTTTGTGAAGGACAAAGTATGGCAAAGAGGGAGGTTAGATAAAATATCGAGAGCCTAAGAGCCATCGGCTTAGCAAGACTATCCACCAAATGGTTCAGATTTTAAAATGGGAGCTTCAATTCAGGTGCCATTTAAGCTGTAGTGAGCTATGGTAGTGTCTATTTAGCTGCTCACAGAGCAATACGGGAGTGCTGCTTTCTGAAGAGGAGCCTTGGGTCTTCCAGAGGTTCTTGGGAATAGCTTGCTTCTTAGTCCTGTGAAAATTCCAGTGACCGTTTCCCATGTAGGATTTTTATAGTTTGTTATGGCATCCCTTGAGGATGGACCAGAATGACTTCTTGGGAACTGGGAAAAAGGTTAGGCTCTTGAGGGGTGGTAGGGCTGCCCTTCTTACCTCCCTATCAGTCTTTTCATTTCCCAAGGAGACTTTAGACACGTCTTCATGGGATACTTTGCAATGAATTACAGTGACCTGCTTGGGACGATAGGGGGTTCCAAGAGGTGTGGAATTTGCTTGTGTTTTATAGATGATTGCTTATTAGCCAGTAAACTTCTTTCCAGACTACTGCAAAGGCATGGAGCAATAAAAAGGCATATTTGAGCCAGGTGTGTGATACACACCTGTAATTCCAGCCCTCAGGAGGCTAAGGCAGAAGTATTGCTGTGAGTTCAAGGCCAGCCTGAGCTACATAGCAAGACCCCATCTCATAAAAATAAAAATAAAAAGATATATTTGGAGTCTAAGAGATATTTAAATTTTGCTTTTTCCTAGTATCAGTGCCCACACAAGAACTATGAACTCCACTCTTTTTTTTTTTTTCTTTTTGGTACTGGGGACTGAACTCACCACCTCGAGCTTTTGAGGCAGGCACTTATGCCACTGAGCTAAATCCCTGGCTCTCATCTACTCACAGAAGCCCTTGGGGAAAGTTGACATCAATGATCTGTTGTGCACTGACAACTGTATAACCTACTTTTTGATACCCTTTTTTGTGTGCATTTCTTTTCTTTTCTTTTTTTCTGGTTCCAGAGATCAAACTTAAGACCTTGTGCTTGCCAGGCAGGTGCCGTGCCAGTGAGCTATATTCCCAGCCCTTGATGTCCTTCTTGAACAAAGTTATTTTCATCACACCTCTTCTAGGGTCTCGGAGGGGGCAGGTTACTGATTTCTTGCCTGCTTGCATAGGTCTGAAAGATTATGCATTCACAGGAGTGGATAGCATCCAGGCCTGTAGACATCAGAGAAGCAGGATTAGGAATAGTACAAGTTTTTATAATAACCTCACAGATGTCCAAGAGCATGGTATTACCCTGTTAACCACAGGGAACCTTTGGTCTTGAGAATCTGACTTGACGGGGTGTTAGAATGTCTTTCTCTGTTAGCAGAACTGTAATTCCTGTTACTTTCAAGCAGAGTGGCCATCCAGCAGCCACTCCATGTAACTTTTTGAAAAATATGCCACTGGGCAGAGTTCTTGTCCTAGCTTTTGGGTCAAGACACCCAAAGCAATTAGTCTCTTTTCTGGTATGTCCTGCATGAGTCCAGCTGAAGACATAGAGCCCATGACAATGTCCTGAGTCCAATGTCCTGGAGACCTAGAGCCCACAAAAAT